AAAACTGTTATTACAATTTACGTAAATATTTATTACATTTTACCGCAACAAAAATTATTACAATTTACGTCAATTTTTATTACAATTTACGTCCATTTTTATTACAATTTACGTTTTTATTACAATTTTACGTCAAGTTTATTACAATTTGCTGCAAGTATTACAATGTACGTTTTTATTACAATTTACGTCGTAACACCTCGTGTTAACTTCCTTTTCGACGTTGCTTGAACATATTCCGACAGTCACTTTCGTGATCAGGTAAGCTCTGATTGGTCTTGTGAAAGGTCGTTCAGCCGGTTGACACACAGAATAACATAATTGGTGTCGTAAAATGTCAAGATGGGCGTACATGTATGTCACCTTTTATTTAAAATATACAGGGGCGGCGGGGTAGCCTAGTGGTTAAAGTGTTCGCTTGTCACACCTAAGACCCGGGTTCGATTCCCCACATGGGTACAATGTGTAAAGCCCATTTCTGGTGTTCCCCGCGTTGCTGGAATATTACTAAAACTTAAATCACTGCTTTTAGATAATATTCTATACATTTAAGGTTTTCGTGTGGCTTAAATGCAGCGAGGAGTTGCGCATCGTTGCTACCGTAGTTTGCCTTCACAGAATGGCTTCCATTATGTAAATGTGATGTTTGCCATATTGACAATAGGCTATTAGTATTGGTTTACACACACAACGAGAACATTTCAGTGTACATTAATCTGCGGAGCATCCAGCAGGCATGAACACTTCTCGTATTACATGGCCTTCCATAAGCTCTGATTAGGATGAAAGTTGTTTTGGTTGTCGTTGACTAAAGATGTAGGCCACAGACATCTGACACATACACGGCTTCCATTTGTTTCGCGCGTCATACACTGGTACACGTCGTCAGCTTCATCAGCGGGGTGACAGGGACGGGTTCCAGTCCTGGGTTCGAGCCCCTATGGAGTAGTTAGGTTTTCTTTCTTGTTAACATACACTTTCCTGTACATGTGCGGAATTCTCTATTGAAAACAGGAGCAGATTTGAATCTTTTGTATTGTGCAATTAGTTTAATGAAACATCTGGCCTCGGTGTCGTTTTGTTTAGATCATCAAAGTCCATGCTTCATTGCAACCCCATCCGTTTGACGGAAGCTATAGTTATGGATTGCGAAAAATGCCTACCCCACAAAAACTGCAAATTTCCTTTAAACATCTTCAATGCAATATGGCCGCCGCATCACGTGACTTTTGACATATGACCAAGAACAGAAATTCTTCAGCCACCAAAGACAACTTCAGAACAAGCGTTTAAAATGTATGAAAATGGAATCCATTCATTTTTCGCAGAGTTGTGACCTTTCTTTTAACCCTATGAAAATCGTCTTAGAAAAAAATTCACCAACTTCCTAGGGCGATAACTCCAAAACCATTCAAGATATCGACATGCCTTGAGCAAACTAAGTAGGCCAGAGTATTGGATGTTGAGATTGCGATTTTTGATTTGCAAAATATTGGAGAATTGATATCCCCTGCTATCGTAACCAAAATTGGACATAATGTCTGTTCATTGAGAATCTGTCGCGATGGCAGCGTTTGCTGAGGCCATTAACTCCCTTGTTTCTCTGTACTTGGATAGCGGACATGGCGCTACTTACATGGGGTACATGAATCCTGCAACGTCACCTTTTGCAGATTATCAGCCCACATAGAGAGGTCTTTAAACGTGATAACGTTACAGGTATAAGACACAGCCCGTGTCGCTGTTGACGCCCTTCAGAGTCAATGTCTTCCCATGACCTTCCAATGTGATCTGAACCCAGTAGAGCATGTGTGGGAACTCGCCAGACGTGCACGTTTACCTACGTCACAGACACTTGCACAACTGACCGGCGCGATTACAGGTGGACTCGAGAATTCCGCAGGGCAGAATCCGAAAACTTCTCCAGTCTGTGTCAAGGACGTGTAGAGCAGTGGTAACAGCACACGATGATCACACCAGGTACTGATCGGAACCCCCCTCGTGGACGTATTTTGTGACAGGACAATCAGTATTGTCATTATGTCTACAGAACATGTGGCTACCACCATGCTAAGTTTCATCCTTGTATCAATCATATTCAATAAAATATGTTCATTTAATTCAACACATTAAACCTTTTCAAAGTTTCCTCTGTGTTTCTTTCTGTCTTTTTCCCCACATGGGTACAATGTGTGAAGCCCATTTCTGGTGTCCCCGCCGTGATATTGCTGGAATATTGCTAAAAGCGGCGAAAAACCTCATTCACTCACTCACTCACTTATATAAGGTTGTTATTTGTGCAGGGGCGGTGAGGTAGCCTAGTGGTTAAAGCGTTGGCTCGTCACGCCGAAGACCCGGGTTCGAATCCCCACATGGGCACAATGTGTGAAGCCCATTTCTGGTGTCCCCCGCCGTGGTGTTGCTGGAATATTGCTAAAAGCGGCGTAAAACCAAACTCAGTCAGTCAGTCAGTGTTATTTGTGCATGGGTCTACAATTCATGAGGTGACCTGGCGCCGTGTTCCAGCCAACACATCTACATGCGGTGGCACACTGGTTCCTTTGTGTCATGGGTAATGTGTTGGTCGTCATGAATAATCCTAGATGTCTGGATTAAGTGTGACGAAAGACTCTGCTGATTTCACTTTGTTTTGCTAGTTTGTTGCTTAACGCCGCCCGAGCTATACAGTAGCCGTCTGTACGTACTCGAGTCTGGACCAGACAAGCCAGTGATCAACAACATGAGCATCGATCTACTCATGTGTCAACCAAGTCAGCGAGCCTGACCATCCAATCCTGTTAGTCGCCTCTAATGCTAAGCATGGGTTGTTAAATATTATTTCTAACCTGGATCTTCACGGGTGTGACTTCACTGCTATTTCCACTACTACCATCACTATTTACAGTACAACCAGAAATTATTGAGAATTTAAAGATTGTAAATTATATATTTTTTTCACTCATTACTCACGTATTAAATGTGAATATTAGCAGAACATAACTCCAGATTCAAAGACAGGTGAACAGTTAGTATTTTGTCAAGTCACCATGGGCAGCAATGCAGGCTTCAATGCGGCGGGGCATACTACTGATCAAAGAAGTTAGAAAGTCGTGGTCCATGCTGTCCCAATATCGGACCACCCTTTTTCATTTCAGCAATATTTGTCAGATTTTTCTTATTGACAGTTTCCTTCATAAGTCCCCAAACATTTTCAATTGGATTTAGGTCAGGGCTATAGCTTGGCCAATCTAATAATGTCATATTTTGGGTCCGAAACCAGGCCTGTGAATGCTTGAACGATGTTTTGGGTCGTTGTCCTGCTGGAAAATCCAAACATTTCCATAGAACATGTGAGCAGATGGAAGTAAATGTCCCTCGAGAATATCTGTGTACCGCTCACTGTTCATATTCCCTTCCAATACACAGAGGGGCGTTGTCCCTAACACAGATATGCCACCCCACACGTTAAATTTCGGACTGTACTTTGGGCGCTGATACAAAGGTTTTTCAGTTTGTTTGGTCCAGTATTTCAGTGTATTAGGAAACAGCCACACATCACATTGTTCCAGTTAAAATTTCTATGCTGTAAGCACCAGTTCAACCTTCGCTCCTTTTGTTCAGGTTTCATGATCGGTCATGGAACTCCTCGACTTTTCTGCCAACCCATTGCATGCAGCTCAGTTCTAATTGTCTCCTTACGGACAGCCACAGTTCCTCTATCAATCATATCCAGCCTTAAGTTTTCTAAACTCCTTCGTTTCTTTTTAGAAACAAGAATACCAAGCCCCATCCTGTCACCGACAGTCAATTTTATGGGCCTACCTGCGCCTCCCTGGTGCTCAATGCCATATCCATTTGTTGTTGTCTTTCTTGAATGAAACCAAGCACTTGATAGCTGGTCAAGGTTGTTTATACTAGAAATCCAATTAAACATATTCCTAAATTCTCAATAATTTCTGGTCATACTATATCAAAGTAGGGTAACCATGGTAACCAGCTTCGGGGAGTAAATCGACGTTCCTTAATCTACATTTTAGATGACGCCAGGCACAACTGAGTAGACTAATGCGTCTAGGCTCCATCCTGACCTGTCATTGACACGCCACCATATACTTGACCTTGACCTACAGCCAATGGTATATATGCTAGATCTTGATAACTCCTATACTACACATGAGCTCCACATTAAGAATTCTCAGATATTATTTCCAACCATACTCTTTCCTTTATGCTATATGGAATATTATATACCTTTTATGCATTCGTATATTGTTTAATTTATTAAAAGTCACTTATTTGTACATCAGATATCAGAAGTGTATTATTATTATTATTATTAAGACTCAACAAATAGCTACTGCGACCACTGTCATTAGGCACAGTACTTTTAACACACTCAAGCTTTTGAAAAGAATATGAGGCTATTTGACATGTTTGTACCAGTGCAACGTGAAATGTTGGCCCCAGTTTAACCTGCCATGTTGGCCCCAGTTTAACCTGCCATGTTGGCCCCAGTTTAACCTGCCATGTTGGCTTCAGTGCAGCCTGACATGTTTGTACCAGTGCAACCTGTCGTGTTGGCCCCAGTGGCTTCCATTAATGACATGCTGCCACGAGTGCTGCCTTAAACTTGCCGATACCAGTGCAGCCCTGAAATACTGACACCGAGGCAATCCAGACACCCTGCATGTGTCCAGTGTTAACATCAGTGAAACCGTGGCATCTGACCACCTCAGACATGCTGAAACTGGCGCAGCTGTGAAATGTACTAATACCCGGGCAGGCTCTAAAGTCAGCCACAGAGGAATTGGTAGAGAGAGACGTACTGGTGCATGAATTCCATATGAATTTATACACTAACCAGTCACGTGTGATGAAAACAAACAGATAAGTGGACCCATGCATCATGTATTCATCATCATCTGAACAATATATATGCAGAGTCACACATTATGGTAATTGTACTACTCAGCTACACGTATAAGACCCTCAGGTGTAGACACAGCTGAAGTCTGCCCAGGTGAGAGCACAGTCACCGACAATGGAGGTACGTTGGGATTGAGTGAATGATGTGTTATGTCGCATGCAGCAATAATCCAGCTACATCACGGCAGTCTCTACTGTGGACCAGGCAAACTAGTGGTTGATAGCAAGAAGTCAGGTGAGGTGACATGGGGTTAACGTTGGTAGTGACAACAACGTTGCATGTCGTGGAGCGACGAAACACGATCAGCCAATTATACAACTGTCGGCTCGATTAGTAGGCAAAGCCTGATGGAAAGCCATGCTGCCCTGAACTCTGCGAGGAGAGGCACGTGGATAATATAGTTCTTGCTAAAGTACATGGTGTATACACAACCTGTTTAGTCATGCCTGGAATCCATAACAGATCCACCGACAAACAATAAGAGGTTTGATTAATATCTATTGTGTCCACCATTTAAGCCGATACATGCACGATGTCTTGATGGCATACCGTTGAGTACCTTGCGTATTGTTACCATTTCTATTCCCGCCATTCCCCCTGAGTACTCACTCAGACTTTATTAGTTTTACGCCGCCTTTTGCAATATTCCAGCAATATATCACCGCGGGAGACAGAAGAAATGGGTTTCACATATTGTACCCATGTAGGGAATCGAACCCGGATCATGTGGGGAAGCGAACACTTTAACCATTAGGCTACCCCACTGCCAATTCCTCCTGAAGATCCGGGTTAGAATTGGTCTTCAGCAACCCATGCTTGTCGTAAGAGGCGTCTAACGGGATCGGTTGGTCAGGGTCGCTGACTTGGTTGACAGATGTCATCGTATCCCCATTGCGTAGATCGATGCTCATGATGCTGATCACTGGATTGTCTGGTCCAGACTGGATTAGTTACAGACCGTCGCCATATAGCTGGAATATTGCTGAGTGCGGCGTTGATAACCAATCAACCATCCTGAGAGTTGCCCTCAGCTGCACCACGATAGAGGGTACAGCGTCTCCGTTTTGCGCTATCTGCCTGAGAACATCTCTGAGAATCTGATGTTCTGAGAATCTGATGGTGGCGTGTCGGGGAGACTTAGCGGACAGTTCCATGTCCGTGTGCCTTCTCGTCCCAGATACTAGGTGGTGGCCTGGGCAAGAGGTGATCTGACATTCCTGCAGGAACAAATTCTGAGGATATGATTGAAACATGAGGAACAACGGCGAGAAGTAAAATTTCGTCAAAATGTCGCTGGTCAGTCCAAAGTCCATTGACAATACCCAGTCAGTTTGCTTGTGAAGTGTGATACTTGGGAGCAATGGTAAGTGTCAGACTTTTCAAGTAACTCCTCGATGTCATGCATAGAGCCGATGGCTAACGGTAGATGTTGACCTTCGCCATGCTGTTATTGCACAGTATTCTATTGATAGCTGAAACCGATTTGCATCGCATAGAGCAAGTAATGCAATGAGACTGTCTCGAGGTGTCGTTTTGATTAGGCCCTGGCGCCAATGTACCGTCACGCTTTGAGGTACTTGTCCCACAGTCGAGAAATTACACTTTTTGATTTGTCAAACAGGGCAAATTGGCATATTGACGTCACTGCATCATCCACCTATCGCCATCGTAAACCATAATCCGCCATTTTCTCTATACACTGAGGCGGTGTCTTGGAGACATTTTAGTTATTTCTCCTCACTTGCATTAGTGATTGTGCTGTTCATAGTGAGTGAGTGAGTATGGTTTTACGCCGCTTTCAGCAATATTCAAGCAATTGGGCTTCACACATTGTACCCATGTAGGGAATCGAACCCAGGTCTTCAGCGTGACGAGCGAACGCTTTAACCACTAGGCTACTCCATCGTCCCTGCTATTCATACATGATGTAAAGTTTCATTTTTATTACGCCACGGTATTGTAAATGTGCACACTCAACGACAGTTGGATTCAAATCATAAGTCCATCATTATTTGTAGGTAGTTACATTTCAACGCTAGCAATATTTTGGGACTCTCCAGTTACTTCTCCCAGTTGTGCCAGGATCCTATGCTCCAGGATTTGATTCCCATATACGTCTTATATTGAATAGTCTTCTGTACGTATCTCGCCCGTGTTACACAGATGGTAAACCTGCAGCAATTCGGACTGTCCCCTTAGTTTAGTAGAACGCATGGCGTAACTGACACGTCATACCAACGCTGTTGTTGAATATGTGAGTAAGTGAGTTTAGTTTTACGCCGCACTCTGCAATATTCCAGTTATATGGCGGCGGTCTGCAAATAATCGAGTCTAGACCAGACAATCCAGTGATCACCAGCATGAGCATCGATCTGCGCAAATGGGAACCGATGACATGTGTCAACCACGTCAGCGAGCCTGACCACCCGATCCCGTTAGTACGACAAGCATGGGTTACTGAAGGTTCATTCTAACCCGGACCTTCACGGGTGTTGAATATGTATTAAGACTATAATTATAAGATTATACTTTGAAGTCCATTCCAACATTGAGATCAACATTCCTAATTCTCTGCTACTTGTATAAATGCAAGATGATTTTATTATCAAATACGGTGGGTTTTTTCGTGACTTCTACAAATATATTCATGGAAACAAATATGGGAACTATGGAATCCTAGAAGGGACATTGTCGCGTTGTCGCATTGTCGCGTTGTCAAAAACAAGTAAAGTGAGGCAAAATAAACCAAAACGCGACACGCGACATCGCGACAACGCGACATTTCGCCTATTTGTCGCATTGTCGCGATGTCGCGTGTCGCGTGTCGCGTTTTGAATAATATTTTTCTATTCCTCCGTGGTGTGACACGCGACATAGCGACAATTTTCAAGGTCAAAATATGTCGCGTTGTCGCGCGTCGCCCTATCTAAGATGTGTAAAAGAAGCCATACTAAAACGACGCGACAATGCGACATTTTATATGTCGCATTGTCGCGTGTCGCGTTTTAGTGAATTTTTAGGCTGTTTAAATGGCATTAATGGGTACAACAAGGACTGGTCGGCTCGGAGTCAGTATAATGTGTCTGAATGGGGTATTCATGCTTCACTGCGGCATGGTATCTCAGTGGGCTAGCACTGTAAAACCAGCTTAAGTCTGGGCTAGTACAAGCAGCCGCACATACACATACACACGCATGCACGTCGTCATATGAGCGAATTATTCTTAAGCACGACGTAAAACCCAATTTCACCTCACCTCACCTTATTTGTTTCCATGAGTATATAAGGGTCCTGTTCATTAGAACCTATTTACGGTACAGTTCTTCATGAAACTGAAAATTCCAGAAGTCGGATCAAGCATCAAAAGATGAGGCCTCTTTGGAAAATGGTGGGGTTGATGCTCCACCAGAGAAGGAAATGATGGAACGCGGCAACTGGGGCGGCAAGCTAGAGTTCATCCTCACCTGTGTCGGCTACGCCGTGGGCCTCGGTAACGTGTGGAGGTTCCCCTACCTGGCCTTCAAGAATGGTGGAGGTAAAATACAGACATCCTATAGGCCTTTACTTTTAAACTGCTGACAGAAAGATATCACGATGGAAACTTGAAAATGGTTGAATTCATGGTGTGTTGTTTGTGAGTGAGTTTAGGTTTACGCCGCTTTTAGCATTATTCCAGCAATAGTGGGTCTGGGGACACCAGAAATGGACTTGAGACATTGTACCCATGTGGGGAATCGACCCCGTGGTCTTCGGCGTGACGTACGAACGCTTTAACCACTAGCTACCACACCGCTCCGATTGAAATTCTTAATTAGATTGTTTACGATGGGTGTATATGAAGGATTCCTGAATAAATCTGACACAGGTGCCTTCCTCATCCCCTACTGGATCATGCAGCTGTTTGTGGGGATGCCTCTGTTCTTCATGGAGCTGTCCTTCGGCCAGTTCGCCAGTCTTGGACCCATCACCATCTGGAAGATCAACCCTCTTTTTAAAGGTAGGATAATTTCTTAAAACTTACACGCTTGAATCGTGCGTGGTCACGTGTCCATTTGGAGATACACATTGTTTGATTTAATATTAGGGTCTATTCAGTATTTGAAACCAGGAAATTGAATTTGAGCTTGAACAAGTCTCCACTGTAATGGTTAACCACATTTCATGTGGTATGGGTGGACAATTTGAAACACTGAATCAGAGCAGGCACCACTTTTATCCAATCAGCGGATCGCTGTACCTTAGTCAACTGGTGAGAGTATTCAAGCTAAGCTGCTTGTGAGCTGATAGAAGGTTTCTGTCTCATCCTACCGGGTACCCCTCTAATGCAGGGCGAACAGTGGCATATCATGAACAACATTCCTTGGACATGTGCTCCATTTGCTTTAGTGGGGATGCGAACTAGAAACTGGTCCCCAGAAACATTTATTAGCGAGGATATCGTTCTTCACTTGAGTGTAATGTAAATGTAACGTCCTTTACTACAGGGCTCGGCTACAGCATGGTGATCGTGTCGGGTCTTATCGGCCTCTACTACAACGTCATCATCGGCTACTGCTTCTTCTACTTCTTCTCCTCGATGCAAGGAACGCTGCCCTGGTCACACTGCAACAGTGACTGGAACAGCCCCAACTGCATCGTTGACAGTAATGTGATTACAAACCATACCAATGGCACCATTTCCAACGGCAGTGAGTGTTCACTTTGAATAGGTGATACCCGTGAAGATCCGGGTTAGAATTGATCTTCAGTAACCCATGTTTGTCGTAAGAAGAGACTAACGGGATCGGGTGGTCAGGCTCGCTGACTTGGTTGAGACATGTCATCATATCCCCATTGCGCAGATCGATGCTTATGCTGTTGATCACTGGATTGTCTGGTCCAGACTCGATTATTTACAGACTGCCACCGTAGCTGGGATATTGTGCGGCGTAAAACAACAACAATCAATTTAAACTGTTGACTATGCAAAGTACATCACGGGTTTCAAAGATGAACCGCCTGCTACGGATTTTACTATCATTCAGAATTCTGAAATCTGTAGCCTGTTCTTATAAACAACCTATGTCCCGTAGCTACGCAGCTACGCAGCTGTATAGTTTGTTACTGTAAACGATTGATAAACGAGGATGAGATATAACAAGTGTTTGTATTTCAGAGGCAAGGATGCTGTTTAAACGAATGTAGTTATCGTTGATGTTGTTATTGTTGCAGCCATGTACAACACCACGATATCACCCAGTGAGGACTACTTTCTGTAAGTAACATTGTACAGAGTGGCGGGTTATCGGTGCGTTCAGCGCCATGTCGGTATCACTCGGGCACATGCAGGTTACAGGTACTTGCTGCAGCTCGTGTACACCAGCTTATGTTGAACATCTGAAGTTGTTTCTGTTTCTGGCACCTGACCAAGTGCTGATGGCATTTTGCAGAAATGAAGCGTATTGGATGTCTCAATTTTGAGATTTTGAACCGCCGTCGGTTCCAAATGAATTCCCGTTCTTCAAATACTCAATAACACCCAGAAATTGGCCAACACCTGATGTTTATCTCCTAAGTAAATGTTGCAGCGTTTACTCAGCATTAATACTACTCCGAGAGACACCTGGTGTTCCCAGAAAGCACATGCTGCAGGTGTTTTCTTTCTAATGAATGTCTTGTGCCTTGGCACCTGGTGTTTCAGGAACTACGTGCTGAAGATGTCTGATGGGATGGAGAACATGGGTGCTCTCAACTGGCGTCTAAGTCTGTGCCTGCTACTGGCGTGGTTTGTTGTCTTCGGCGTGCTCATCAAGGGAATCAAATCGCTAGGGAAGGTGAGTGTCACATTTCGATTTACTGGATGTTACTGAGACCATCATTGTATTGTTTCTTGGTGTCACTGTGATTGGTGTGCTCCTGATCTTGGCGTCACTGTGATTAGTGTGCTCCTGATCTTGGCGTCACTGTGATTAGTGTGCTCCTGATCTTGGCGTCACTGTGATTAGTGTGCTCCTGATCTTGGCGTCACTGTGATTAGTGTGCTCCTGATCTTGGCGTCACTGTGATTAGTGTGCTCCTGATCTTGGCGTCACTGTGATTAGTGTGCTCCTGATCTTGGCGTCACTGTGATTAGTGTGCTCTTGATCTTGGCGTCACTGTCATTGGTGTGCTCCTGATCTTGGCGTCACTTTGGTGTGCTCCTGGTCTTGGCGTCACTTTGGTGTGCTCCTGATCTTGGCGTCACTTTGGTGTGCTCCTGATCTTGGCGTCACTATGGTGTGCTCCTGGTCTTGGCGTCACTGTGACTTGTGGTCTCTTGGTCTTGGCGTCACTTTGGTGTGCTCCTGGTCTTGGCGTCACTGTGACTGGTGTGCTCCTGGTCTTGGCGTCACTTTGGTGTGCTCCTGGTCTTGGCGTCACTGTGACTGGTGTGCTCCTGATCTTGGCATCACTTTTGTGTGCTCCTGATCTTAGCTTCACTGTGACTGGTGTGCTCCTGATCTTGGCGTCACTTTGGTGTGCTCCTGATCTTGGCGTCACTTTGGCGGTCTCGTGATCTTGATGTCACTGTGACTGGTGGTCTCCTGATCTTGCCGTCAGTGTGACTGGTGGTCTCCTGATTTTGGCGTCACTTTGGTGGTCTCCTGATCTTGGCGTCACTGTGACTGTGGTTTCCTGATTTTGGCGTCACAGTGACTGGTGTGCTCCTGAAGCTGGTTTCGCTGGAGGATTCCCTATTCTAGAATCACTATTCCTGGTGTGTTCCTTGTCCTGCCTTGAATGAGACCGGCGTTTCCCTGTCCCAACTTAACTCAGACAATCGTTTCCTCACCTAATCTCCCTGAGACTTGATTCCCCTGCCCCAGCCTGACTGAGACCGGTGCATGTTGCAGGTTGTCTACTTCACCGCCACCTTCCCCTACCTGCTACTGACGGCGCTGCTTATCCGGGGCGCCACACTAGATGGGGCGTCTGATGGCATCAAGTTCTACCTGACACCTAACTGGAGCAGGCTGGCCGACTCAGAGGTGAATATTTTCATAAACTGGATATACTGCTCATGATATGTAAGGAACATACTGTAAGACGAGTGTGATAGATGCAGATTCAAGGGTTGTTTAGATGGCCTTCTTGAACGAACGACTGTATTTTTCAGCCGCATTTGAAAATAATGCAGCATTTGGATCGATGCTCATGTTGTTGATCACTGGATTGTCTGGTCCAGACTCGATTATTTACAGACCGCCGCCATATATTGCTGAGTGCGGCGTTAAACAACAAACCAGCCAGCCAATCATGATATTATCAGAACCGGAGTGTGACAACCGTGTGAATGGTGGACCACCTGTCAAAACCAAGTGGCACTGCAAATGGCCTCAGTGTCTCTCGTACCACAACGCTGTAGGTCCATAAACAAGATATCGTTAGTTGACTGTGATTGAGGGTCTCATTCATTAATGAAAGAAACATAAAGAAACATACAGGTTCGTCTATACTGAAGGCAGGGATTGTTGTTCATATATCTTTACCACGAACTGAATATTAGCACTGCGGCGTTACAGAACATTCATTCATCCCTGTGGTAAGGCGTTGTTTATCGCCGGGTATTGAAATCAGGACTGTGCGGTCAGAACGATTACAGAAGGTGGTGTAGTGTTCCTGTTCTAATTCCGCCTGTGTCCGTGCATACAGATTGCAATTAGTCTCCCTCACAACCCCTTCGGTCTCCCTCACAAGTGACCAGTGATACCATCAATGTATCCGTACCATTTGTATACTGATAAAATAGTTAGGGATCATGGAACCTGAGGACATGTTTTATGAAATGATGTGCTCTTTGTCCGCTGTAAAACATTATCCCCTAACATATTTATGATCGCTAATGTTTTTCGATGGTATAATCCCCATGAAAAGTTTAGACTCACTAGTGTAAATGTAGCCACTTACTTCAGTCAACTGATCTAAACTAGATTTTGCAAAATATTCTTTACAGTTTAAGGGTACTGTTGTAGGCCTACTGTTTACACATGAACTGATGTATCGTAAAACAAATTCGTAACGTTGAAAAGAATATTGTCATGAGTTCAATAAATGATGAAACTCGGTGAAAAGTGGTGAATTCTTAACAAAATTTCACACCAAAACGCAGCTGTTCACATACACGAGACCCGTGAAGATCCGGGGTAGAATAGGTCTTCAGCAACCCATGTGCTTGCCATAAAAGGCGACTATGCTTGTCGTAAGAGGCGACTAACGGGATCGGGTGGTCAGTTTCGCTGACTTGGTTGACACATGTCATCGGTTCCCAATTGCGCAGATCGATGCTCATGCTGTTGATCACTGGATTGTCTGGTCCAGACTCGATTATTGACAGACCGCCGCCATATAGCTGGGATATTGCTGAGTAAAACTAAACTCACTCACTCACTCACTCACATACACGATATTTGCACATGCATTTCAGCAATTTGATACATGATCCTCGTGCAATTCATCTGCATAAGGTTTGCAGTTGGTTCCCCAAAGTAGGTGTACAAATTCATCTTCGACGTAACCACATATTTATACATAACATATAGTGAGTGCTTTATAGTGAGTGAGTCTAAACTTTTGATGGGTAGTATATATATTCGTTGTAAGGTATGAATCAATAGCCAATGTAAAGCAATGTACGAAAAGGGTATTTTGCAAAATGTAGAAAATAACAAACTGAGGTTCTAGGTCAGTGAAGGTTCACTTAACTAAGGAATAAGTATGCAGAAGGATAGGTCTTTATCTCCATTACACGTGTGTGGCGGATTGGAGGGTAGTTAACTTTAGAGTTTAAACGAGCTTCGTGAAGCGTCGGGTGGTTCACGACCCATAATTGTGTGATTCATTCCATACAATTTTAATCGCGACCTTTCAATTTTCAAGATGTCAGTAATTAACTATATTCAACTCTCTCCATTTCGTTCAGCCTTGATGGCTGTCACATTGAATGACATATTATACTATCAAGAAAAGAAACGCATAGGCGTTTTGTATTTTTAAAAATCTATTAATTACCAATTGTGTTTAAACAATCGTCAAAATATGTATCAAACGTGTTGATAACGTGATTTTACACAAGTACAAAATCGACTTTACCTGAAAATGTTGATTTTGATGAGATTTCTTACAAGGATTAAAATAACATCACCACAACGCAACTTGAAATTGTGCAGCAAAGAGCATGCACTGTCTGGCTATAAAAATCCAGATTAGTTTCGAAAATCGGCATTCGTTTAGAAGGCGTTTCAAGGTCAAATCAATACGCCACGTCTTGACGCTGCGACACTGAACATCGCCACTGAAAGAATGCACGCTGGAGATACCAAACCTTCTGTTGCAAGGCGTCTGAGTGTTAGTCCATCATAAGTTCGAACCGTCATAAGAAAATACGTGTTGCTTACGATGCTATATTTAGTTTTAGAAACACCAGTCGATTGAGGGTATCAATAGTGTAAAGTGTAAGCTATCGTACCCGTGAAGATCCGGGTTAGAATTGATCTTCAGTAACCCATGCTTGTCGTAAGAGGCGACAAACAGGATCGGTTGGTCAGGCTCGCTGACTTGAGGGACACATGTCATCGTATCCCAATTGCGTAGAACGATGCTTATGGTGTTGATCACTGGATTGTCTGGTCCAAACTCGATTATAACAGACCGCCGCCATATAGCTGGAATACTGCTGAGTGCAGCGTTAAACAACAATCAAGGAATGTAAGCTACTGGTCCATCTTCATCTTCTGACCATGCTTGCTTCCAGGTGTGGAGTGACGCAGCTACTCAGGTGTTCTACTCCCTTAGTGCATGTTCTGGGGGCCTTGTTCTCATGGCCAGCTTCAATAAGTTCGACAACTTCTGTCTCAGGTAAAATGCTTTTCTACAATTATAGACGTCTAACAATTACGTATGACAGTAAATCGTAAACCTTCTCTCGTGTTGTGGCCCAGGGACGCCCTGATAGTTCCTCTCGTGGACTGCCTCACCAGCTTCTTCTCTGGATTCGTGGTGTTCACTGTGCTGGGCTTCATGGCGTACAACAGGCAGGTCAGCGTAGCCGATGTTGCTGCTGGAGGTAGGTGTTGTTGTTGATGACGCTGAAGGTTGATACATGATGAAATGGTTGTTTGTTGTGAAACACACTATTTGTTAAACACACTATTAAGAAAATATGGAAATCATAATGTAAATACTACTATTAGACGTGACGTTACGAAACATTAATGCAATAACGTTTTATGTCTGCAAAATCTTGTCGTGATAACACACGCTATCATATTCCACTGCCGGTTCTAATGTGTTCTCAAATCGTTCATAATTATCATACAATTATCACTAAAATCAAATATCTCTTGCAATTTTGGAAATCTTACTATATTTCTGAGCATGTCCTAATTTGTATGGTCATATTTGTGTTAATATCCACCATGACAGCACTGTTTGAAAGTCCCAAGGTGAAATGTTTGATTCTAAACACGTTTTGTTTGTGAGCATATTTAGATCCTCATCGTGTTTAGATTTTAAACATGATGATGTTATTAACGCAATTCTTAACGTTTCGGAGACACAAACATGTTTATAAAATAGCGGGATAAGTAACTCTGTGATTGTGCCTGTGATCCTGTGTTAAGGTCCAGGCCTGGCCTTCATCGCCTACCCGGAGGCTCTGGCCAGCATGCCGGCACCCACCGTGTGGGCCATCTTGTTCTTCTTCATGATGCTCATCATAGGATTCAGCTCTCAGGTCAGTTGTAGTCTTTCTTTATGGCAATGTGGACGGTAGGACGTGGAACGTGAATGTAAACGAGGATAAGGACTTGGACGAGGACGAGGGCGAGAACGAGGACGTTAACGTGGACGCGGACGTGGACATGGACGTGGGCGAGGACGTGGACGAGGATGGACATGGACGTGGACATGGACGTGGACGAGAACGAGGACGTGGACGAAGACGCGGACGTTAACACGGATGAGGACGTGGAAGAGAACGAGGAAGAGAAGGAGGACGTGGACCAGGAAGAGGACTTGGACGAGACGTGGTCATCACATGAGATGAGAAATAGAGAATCTCACTTAAGGTTTTTATGGGTTTGAAACTGTTATCGACCAATGTTGACATCTTATCTATCACAAGACGCGAGAATGTGGTTCTATTTAACATCAGCACTTTCAGTTTAAAGACAATGTTCTGAGAAGCCTAGATAATAAACCGTCAAAGGCTCCAACAGTCCTTTATTCTGCGATAAAATGCCACATCCTATGTCCATCATCTCCGAAGTCAATCTTCTCCTATGTCCATCATCTCCCAAGTCTATCATCTCCAAAGTCAATCATCTCCAATATCAATGATCTAGCATGTCAATCACCCCAATGTCAATCATCTTCTATGCCCATCATCTTCCATGTCAATCAGCTCCTATATCATCATCTCTCATGTCAATCATCTCCTATGCCCATCATCTCTCATGTCAATCATCTCCCTATGCATGTCAATCATCTATCAATCATGTCAATCATCTCAATCATCTATGCCCATCATCTCCCATGTCAATCATCTCCTATGCCATCATCATCTCCATGTCAATCATCTCCTATGTCCATCATCTCCCATGTCAATCATCCCCCATATGCATCATCTCCTATGTCAATCATCAATCATCCCTATGTCCATCATCTCCCATGTCAATCATCTCCAATGCCAATCATCTCCCATGTCAATCATTTCAATCATCTCCCCATGTCAATCATCTCCATCATCAATCATCTCTATGTCAATCATCTCCCATGTCAATCATCTCCTATGCCAATCATCTCCATGTCAATCATCTCCTATGCCCATCATCTCCTATGTCAATCATCTCCTATGCCCATCATCTCCCATGTCAATCATCTCCTATGCCCATCATCTCCCATGTCAATCATCTATGCCCATCATCTCCCGTGTCAATCATCTCCTACGCCCATCATCTCCCATGTCAAGCATTATCCTGTGTCAATCATCTCCCATGTCAAGCATCTCCCATGTCAATCATCTCCCATGTCAATCATCTCCTATGTCCATCTTCTCCCATGTCAATCATCTCCTATGCAGGGGCTTGTCCCCAACATATATATACAACCACTGTGTCCGTACTGCCACAATGTTGGCTCAGGATAGCGTTGCATTACATTCGTAATTGAACATTTGTTAAATTAAATTACAGTATCAAAATAACAATCATTAGATAAAAACAATACAAGAAAAACCAAAAATAGATGAGCACTGACACAACACAAACATGCTGTTTATATATTTCACGCAGTCCATTCGTAACCCATGAGTATCTGTAAATGTGTTTCGATATCCGTGCTTCAATTTGCAGAAGCCCCTACATCAGCACTCCACTTGTATTATGCGTTGCCTGATCGGTGTAGCCAATGCATTCGTAATACCCCTGCTTAGAATCACTAAACATTTGCATTGTAGAAAGTAATTGCTGTTTCAATTCGTAACAGATAATTTACTACAGGAACAATAGCGTGACGTCATTCTCATGTTTAAAGTGTGTCAGTAGTCATAGGTTTGAACTTTCAACAATGGAAAAAGGTTGTTATAATTACATGTGCACCTGTGACACAGCGTGGGGTATTTACCAACATACTACAGTCAAGCAAAACGACCGCTGTTGCTCTTCCTTTACCAAGATAGTCCCAAGGCGACGCCAAAAGCCGATAATTCACGTCGGTTACATCATATAGTGTTAACAACTCTGTGAGCTCTTATTTCACTTGCAGTTGACACGGTATCTTAATATTACTGTAGAAACAAAGTAGTAACTAACAGTAGCCATCCAGAAAGAACTTACGTGTTTCCATGAGTGAGTGAGTGTGTTTAGTTTTACGCCACACTCAGCAAAATTACAGCTATATTGCGGCTGTCTGTAAACAATCGAGTTTGGACCAGACAATCCAGTGATCAACAGCATGAGCATCGATCTGCACAATCGGGAACCGATGACACGCGTCAACCAAGTCAGCGAGCCCAACCACCCGATCCCGTTAGCCGCCTGGGTTGACAAGCATGGGTTACTGAAGATCAATTCTAACCCGGACCTTCACGGGTAACGTGTTTCCATGTTTCAGCATGACCCCACAATGCACTTTTATACTAATTTACAAGTCATGTGACTAAACTGATGCAAGTAAATATAAATAAATAGATACAAATCCTACCGGTAGTTCTTGCGATAACTGATAACCACACACTGAAAATATAACGTGATTTTGTTACATTGTGTTGCAAACATTGCTTTGCGAACGTATCCGTGTATGGAAATTATTTGGAACAAACCGTCAGTTAGCCCTGTCCGATGATTTTCAGTTTGAGGCATCAGTTGATTTTAAGTTTTACCAATTCCAAATGAAACACCATGGTAGCGCTAAATTCGGGTCTTTGAATAGTAATGACGAGTGTTCTTTCCCCACATGTCGTGTTCTTGGGCGTTAAAATAGTTCAGGGCCAGACTATTCTTTGTTATACAGTACACAAGAGCATACTACACATGTTTCTAGTTTCCATGTGTAAAAACTAAATCTAACCAGATTTAGTAGCAGATTAGTGATGTCATCAGCATTGTACGTCACAGTAACCGATGACGGCTCAATGCGGTATTGCTTGATCGCACCCAAGTACATGCGTTAAGACCCGTGGAGATCCGGGTTAGACTTGTCTTCAGCAACCCAGGCTTGTTCTAAGAGGCGATTGACGGGAACGGGTGGTCAGGCTCGCTGACTTGGTTGACATCGCATCCCGTTTACGTAGATCGATGCTCATGCTGGTCAAGAGTCGATTATTTGAATATTGCTGAGTGCGGCGTTAAACAACAAACAATCAAACAATCCTTGAGTTCTTGGCGTCATCCTCAACATCTCCTCGTTTCAGTTCTCCATCATAGAGACGGTCATCTCCTCCATCTCTGACGAGTACGACTGGATCCTCCGGAAGAACTTCCGTAACTCCACGTACTTCCGGATATCCCTGTGTGTTGCCTTCTACCTCATGGCTTTACCCATGACTACAAACGTGAGTACTGTCAAGGTGCATGGCTTTACCCATGACTACACACGTGAGTACTGTCAAGATGCATGGCTTTACCCATGACTACACACGTGAGTACTGTCAAGATGCATGGCTTTACCCATGACTACAAACGTGAGTACTGTCAAGATGCATGGCTTTACCCATGACTACAAACGTGAGTACTGTCAAGATGCATGGCTTTACCCATGACTACAAACGTGAGTACTGTCAAGATGCATGGCTTTACCCATGACTACACACGTGAGTACTGCCGTCAAGATGCATGGCTTTACCCATGACTACACACGTGAGTACTGCCGAGATGCATGGCTTTACCCATGACTACACACACGTGAGTACTGTCAAGATGCATGGCTTTACCCATGACTACAAACGTGAGTACTGTCAAGATGCATGGCTTTACCCATGACTACAAACGTGAGTACTGTCAAGATGCATGGCTTTACCCATGACTACAAACGTGAGTACTGTCAAGATGCATGGCTTTACCCATGACTACAAACGTGAGTACTGTCAAGGTGCATGGCTTTACCCATGACTACAAACGTCAAGAGTACTGTCAAGATGCATGGCTTTACCCATGACTACAAACGTGAGTACTGTCAAGGTGCATGGCTTTACCCATGACTACAAACGTGAGTAGTGTCAAGATGCATGGCTTTACCCATGACTACAAACGTGAGTACTGTCAAGGTGCATGGCTTTACCCATGACTACAAACGTGAGTAGTGTCAAGATGCATGGCTTTACCCATGACTACAAACGTGAGTAGTGTCAAGATGCATGGCTTTACCCATGACTACAAACGTGAGTACTGTCAAGATGCATGGCTTTACCCATGACTACAAACGTGAGTACTGTCAATGTGCATCGTAAATGTGGTCCACTGACCTCTTCCCACTGGCAGAACCTCTGCATTCAACAAAGGTGACGTAGCCCACCGAATAGTGTCTGCATGCAGTGAACGGACACTGCTCACGAAATATATGTCTGCGTCCTGCGAAGGGACGCTACCAAAGACTGAATCTAGACAGGAAACTCCCTAAAATATCCGCACTGAGAGATGGGACATTGCCTTCAAGAAGAGTGAAGCTAGTTAGAGGGATTCTTTCAAAGTTGCCTTTACCATCGAGCAGAGCGTAAGAATTTCTGTATCTGGCGAGGAACTCTGCCTCAGAGGATAGCGTCTGCTACTTGCGGGAGGTAAATTTTCCCCCAGATAGAGCCTACATCGTGAACCTGCTATCCTAAGAGCATCTGGATCTTGCCAGGGACATTGCTTCTAAAAGTGTCTGAGAATAATTAGAGGGAAATGCTCCCTAACATACTTTTGCATCCAGCACAAACATCCTACTGAAGAGTGCTTGCATCGAGCAAAGGCGTCTGAGGAGAGTAGCTGCATCTGGACAAAGAATAACGTTTCCTTAAGGAGTCTGCATGTAACAGAGTGAAATTGTCCTTCTACATGTAATAGCAGCTTTATCATGCTCTACACTAAGCGCCAAAAGAAACGTTACCCTCCTACCTTTATGAATTACTTCAAAACTATCAAAGATATGTTAGAAGGTATGAGTTTAGAAGAAAGCTTAACAACACAGCTTTATGCAAATCACGAAATAAAATTCTCAAATGCATTCATATACTCATGCCAATATTCCCCCTTCAATTTTTTAATTTGAGAGGGGTTCATGTGGGGATGGGGTGGGAAGGGGGGTTAGCATGAGTATATTTAGGTGAACTGCATCTTTTTCAGAAGAGTTAAATTGTCCTATTTCGTCCATGCCGAAATAAACCAATAACAGTGATTTAGATGTCCAAATGAAAGGTTGAAATAAAATTCTGCTTTGAGGGGTCACCGTAGACAGACCAAGAAATGGACGTCCACGCATCACAACGCCAGCTGTTACGTAGATAGGTACCTCCGTCATTAAGGAAGGAGGGTAACGTTTCTTTTGGCGTTTAGTGTCTTCTTTTCTGATGCAAAACCCACAAATATTATGTTCATGTAGTTTTATCTCTCACATTCTCATCATATGTCCTTATTGATTGTCAAACATGAAACCGTCATTGTTTGCCAAGTAGGTTTTCTACGGAAATGCATCATTGTCATTATCTCCCTTGCCTGTCACCTGAATGTTGTGTTGTAATTACAAGGGGGGTATATATCTCCTGGACCTGATAGACACTGCTGTCAGCGGCTTCCCTCTGTTGTTTGTGGGTCTCCTCGAGTGTATCGCCCTCAACTACATATATGGTAAGTCCGCCGTGTTAAACAACAACAGGTATTGTGTGGCACTGAGTTGCCTGAGTTTGGTTTTACGCCGCTTTTTAGCAATATTCCAGCAACATCACGGCGGGGGACACCAGAAATGGGCTTCACACATTGTGGGGATTCGAACCCGGGTCTTCAGCGTGACGAGCCAACGCTTTAACCATTAGGCTACCCCACCGTGTGGCACGCATCAAGATGAAGTGTGACAAACACAATCTGTGGATGCTGTTAGAATGAAGTATCACTCGGATGGATTGCAAATTATATTTAAAATATAAATGCAGAATTGAATACAATGGATAAAATATTTTTACGAGGCGTTAACTTTGAAGTGATCTGCTATTTGAGTTGCCAATATATTCTTGCTGCAGGTTACAGTCGGTTCTCCGAGGACATCTCCATGATGCTGGGCAGACGTCCGTCTGTCTACTGGAGGTTCTGTTGGTGCTTCATGACCCCGGCCATTTTGTTTGTGAGTGTCTCCGTTAGCCTATGACCCCGCCATGTTGTTTGTGAGTGTCTGCGTTTGATCCACTCTCCTACCCAGAGTTCGATGCGGCAAGCCAGCATATTACCTCTGCCACAGGCCAGAAATATGTGACGATTCGTCACATCTTGCAATGTCCATTCAATATTATGTACAGATTTCTTTTACTCTTTTATTTTTGACGAGTCTACACATCTAACTAAACATATTTAATAGAATGGTTTAGTTTCACTGAGAAAATATCCAAAAACATGTAACAGTATTTCGATTTGCGTAGCGATCCTTTGTTTACATAGGTTGTACGGCTCCACGTGGTGTCATCGAAGCTGATGGAGAGCAAACGATGCAGCCAGTTTTGATATCTAAATATGTACTGTCATAGACCTTACTGTCGCAGTTGTGGAAGAATATATATGTAACAATGTAAAACATTGTGAAGTGAGCGCCGAAAAGCTTTCGTGAGTCCAGTCTCTTCTTATTATGAATATGCGCGTTTGATTACAAACAAGAGAAAAGTCCGGTCACGTGATATGCAAATTAGCCTGTGGCAGTGATGTTATGTTAAGTCATCGCTGTGCCGGAGTGTGCGTTTGATCATGACCCCCGCTGTGTTGTTTGTGAGTGTCTGCGTTTGATTATGACCCCGCCATGTTGTCTGTGAGTGTCTGCGTTTGATCATAATCCCGCTATGTTGTTTGTGAGTGTCTCCGTTAGCCTATGACCCCGCCATGTTGTTTGTGAGTGTCTGCGTTTGATCATGACCCTGCTATGTTGTTTGTGAGTGTCTCCGTTAGCATATAACCCCGGTCATATTGTGTGTGAGTGTCTGCGTTTGATTATGGCCCCGCCATGTTGTTTGTGAGTGTCTGCGTTTGATCATGACCCCGCTATGTTGTTTGTAAGTGTCAGAGTTCCCGCCATGCTGGTTGCGTGTGTGTTAGACTATGCCCCCGTAATGGTTTTTGTGAGTGTCTGCGTTATTAGAATCCGGTTCCCGTCATGGTGTTTGTTTCTGAGTTTGAGTTGACTCTGATTCCCTTGATGCTTTTTGTCAGAGATGAGGTGTTAGATGAACTGGAACTCCGCTCATCTCGTGTATGTCGGTCTGGAAACGCCGGTTTGGATGTCGAACATTTTCTACTTTGTTCTTCAAAGTGAATTATAACTGGTTCACATGTTGCAGACAGTGGTAGTGTTAACGTCTATTGAGTACACCCTATGTTGCAGACAGTGATAGTGTTCAAGTCTATCCAGTACACCCTATGCTACAGACAGTGGTAGTGTTCAAGTCTATTGAGTACACCCTATGCTACAGACAGTGATAGTGTTCAAGTCTATCCAGTACACTCTATGTTACAGACAGTGATAGTATTCAAGTCTATCCAGTACACCCTATGTTACAGGCAGTGGTAGTGTTCAAGTCGATCCAGTACACCCTATGCTACAGACAGTGGTAGTGTTCAAGTCGATCCAGTACACCCTATGCTACCGACAGTGGTAGTGTTAACGTCTATTGAGTACACCCTATGTTGCAGACAGTGATAGTGTTCAAGTCTATCCAGTACACCCTATGTTCCAGACAGTGATAGTGTTCAAGTCGATCCAGTACACTCTATGTTACAGACAGTGATAGTATTCAAGTCTATCCAGTACACCCTATGTTACAGACAGTGGTAGTGTTCAAGTCGATCCAGTACACCCTATGCTACAGACAGTGGTAGTGTTCAAGTCTATTGAGTACACCCTATGTTGCAGACAGTGATAGTGTTCAAGTCTATTGAGTACACCCTATGTTACAGACAGTGGTAGTATTCAAGTCTATCCAGTACACCCTATGCTACAGATAGTGATAGTGTTCAAGTCGATCCAGTACACCCTATGCTACAGACAGTGGTAGTGTTCAAGTCTATTGAGTACACCCTATGTTGCAGACAGTGATAGTGTTCAAGTCTATTGAGTACACCCTATGTTACAGACAGTGGTAGTGTTCAAGTCTATTGAGTACACCCTATGTTGCAGACAGTGATAGTGTTCAAGTCTATCCAGTACAGTCCTATGGCGTCTGGTAGTTACATCTACCCAGACTGGGCGCAGGGCCTCTACTGGCTTGTGGCTCTCTTCCCCTTGAGCGCTATCCCCGGCTGGTTCTTGTTCCACTTCCTCCGTAATGGCGGCTTGGATGTAAGTATGATAGTACAAGCTAATCCAACTATCTCTCCATTGTATTAACAGTTATTTAAAATCGTTTCTTACTGTCGTGTATCTGTCGATTTTCCCACATCAAACATGCTGTCGTTTACCTTCCGACGTTGGGCATAACCTATAATAACACGAGGTTGGACGGTTGGACGCCGCACTCAGCAATATTCCAGCTATATGGCGGCGGTCTGCAAATAATCGAGTCTGGACCAGACAATACAGTAATCAACATCATGAGCATCGATCAACGCAAATAGGAACAGATGACATGTGTCAACCAAGTCAGCGAGCCTGGCCACCCGATCCCGTTAGTCACCTCTTACGACATACATTGGTTGCTGAAGACCAATTCTACCCCGGATCTTCAGGAGAAATTTGGGCAGTGGGGTAGCCTGTGGTTAAAGCGTTCGCGTTCGCTTCCCCAAATGATCCAGGTTCTAGTCCAAACATGGGTACAATGTGTGAAGCCCATTTTTTGTGTCCCCCCGCTGTGATATTGCTGGAATATTGCAAAAAGCGGCGTAAAACTAATAAAGTCTGAGTGAGTACTCAGGGGGAATGGCGGGAATAGAAATGGTAACAATAGGCAATTTACTCAACAGTATGCCATCAATATATCGGCTTAAATGGACCACTTCTAACCCGGATCTTCACGGGTCTGATACACCCAATTATAGGAGGGCTTTCCATCCATCAGATTCACCAGGTGTCGTCATTGTCACTATTTAACTTTTCACGCCTCATGAAATATGTTGTTCTGAAAAATCGCCAGGAGCGTTGAATTCTTTATTTTACCCAACCACCTTGCTTTGCGGTGTAATGTTAGTGAATATTGGTTAACCCCGCTTTTAGACTGACTGACTGAGTTTAGTTTTACGCCGCTTTTAGCAATATTCCAGCAATATCACGGCGGGGGACACCAGAAATGGGCTTAACACATTGTGCCCATGTGGGGAATCGAACCCGGGTCTTCGGCGTGACGAGCCAACGCTTTAACCACTAGGCTACCCCACCGCCCCCCGCTTTTAGAATACTTACGCAATATCACAGAGGGCTTCACACCATGTACCCATGGGGGGTATGGGCGTAACGAGCGAACACTTTAACTACTAGGCTACTTCCAGTGCTACATCATATAGGACCGCCTCCGTGGTGTAGTGGTTAGAGCGTCCGCCCGGAGTGCGGAAGGTCGTGGGTTCGATCCCCGACTGCGTCATACCAAAAGACGTTAAAATATGGTACCTGTTGGTCCCTGCCTGGCGCTCGGCATTAATGGGTACAACAAGGACTGGTCGGTTCGGAGTCAGTATAATGTGTCTGAGTGGGGTATTCATGCTTCACTGCGGCATGGTATCTCAGTGGGCTGGCACTATAAAACCAGCTTAAGTCTGGGCTAGTACAAGCAGCCGTATATACACATACACACGCATGCACGTCGTCATATGAGCGAAATATTCTCAAGCACGACGTTAAACCCAATTCCACCACCACCACCACATCATATAGACGTATGGACACATAGACTTTCATAACTGCAACAAGATTGTTGAAAACATGCAATTCGTTATATTTTCATTTAGACAAATTCGTTTTCAGAGCATACATTACTAAACCTAACTAAATCAGTTCAATAAGATATATGCCAGCTACCCTTTTTTGTCAGCTACCGTTTCGCTAAATGGGTCATATGTAGAGATCAGGTAATATGATACAGCCGGCCTTATCACCCACACTGCAAATCTTAACCATGTTGGACACCAATGCTTGTCACTCTCCGTTAGTCAAGGGTTAATATTCATGCAGTTGGTAGTGGACAAGTGGACTGTGTTGGTCCAGCAGCGGGGTAAACCTTGTTTGTTTTCGGTAGCCTGATACACTCTGTGGCTAGTTCCATATCGAGAAGAATTTCTGGAGGCTTTGAGGTGTCATTATAATTACAGGATACCACTTTTACTGCTGCCGGGAGATCCTAAAAGATTGGGACTTTTCTAGCATTTGGCCTGGGACCATAGCTTAGTACAATCAAACTACAATTACATCCTACACTATGCATGCACGGTCCATGTGACAAGCTGAACAGAATACAGTAAACCCGAAGGGACTGGGGTTAGATTTGGTCTTCAGCAACCCATGCTTGTCGTAAAAGGCAACTAACGAGATCGGGTGGTCAGGTTCGCTGACTTGGTTGATACGTCCACTAACTGCGCAGATTGATGCTTATGCTGTTGATCACTGGATTGTCTGGTCTAGACTCGATTATTTACAGATCGCCACCATATACATGTAGCTTGAATATTGCTGAGTGCGGCGTTAATAAACAAACAAACAAACTCGAAGAACTACTAAGTTTAGTTTGCTATAAACATAGTTCGTTTCACGTATTTGGACTAATAAATACACCATGGGACCGGGACCAAACAATTTCGCTATACCAATCAGTCCGTTATAAGCGTGTCCGCTTTAAACTTAGTTTACTGTACTATTCCCCTGCTGTTACAGCTCTTAAAGGGACTCTCCTCCCCGCTGCCCGAGTGGGGGCCGTCACTACCGGAGAACCGGACAGGGCGCTATGCTAGCGAATCCTCCAGGGGGACACCGGGAAGGACAATCCAGCGTTCCAGGACAACGACACCCCAGGCAGCCAGGGACACGACAAACCACCGTCTTACTCAGATACTGTCACGACAAAGATGTAGCTAGTAACAGCTGAAGATACAACATGATACATCGATAGTAGAACTACATTCAGCCTTTCAGTATTAACACTTTCTAAAATGTTCCATTATCATTTTTAGCGAAACAAATAAATGATCATATACAGACGGGATCGTGTGAGTTGATTAATGGCTTGCTGGTTTGTTGTCTTATAGCTCATAGGCCAACTTCAAACGCTCCGTATATGTACCTGATTAGAAATGGCCAGTGACAACTATTTTTTATGAATTTAGAGTTCATGAGTTCTTCCAGCAGCTGCTACTAGTTTTACGTCGCTTTTAGCAATATTCCAGCAATATCACTGCGGGGAATCCAGAAATGGACTTGATACATTGTAACCATGTGGGAATCGAACCCGAGCCTTCCGAGAAACGAGCGAGCGCTTAACCACAAAGCTACCCCATCGCCCCAGCTGTTACTATTTTCGCAAGATATTACCCTACAGGTTCAGTGGCCAAATGGCTTTTACAACGTAAATCAGATCGCAAAGATTCTTAACGTTCAGTGTGACATCCGTTGAAGTATAGATCGCATTTAAGATATGCTGGTGCTGTTACATAGCTGTTGGGTCGTCTGTGCACAGAAAGAACAGAACGCAAACACATGTAGGTAAATCTGTGTAGAGGGTACTTATATCATGGTACATGACGAATGTGATACTTTTCATACACGTAAGAATTTATTCTTTCTTAAAGGTTCATACATATTAGTCGAGACTGCTAAATATGCATCCATATAGATCTTCCTTGAAATGTGATAATATTATGTTGCGTTTTGACAAAAGAAACTGGAAAAAAATACCAACAGCTCTGGAGAGATGTCGATGTTTTTCGCTAAACTATTGGTTCAAACAGAGCGAATTTGTCTGTGATATACTTTAAATAAAGTTGAGGACGAATATCATTTCCTTTTGAATGAGTAGCATATGCATCCTTACAGAATACGTACATATCAGAATATTACTTTGTCCATTCCATTGTTTTTTCAAATCGGAATCCTTTGATCCTCCACAGACACAGGAACTCTGAAGTAATGTCTAACTAATCAAACAATCAGGTGTGGACACATTTTTTCACAGATCTGGTTAAATGTATTTCTACGATTTTCTTACTATCATACTCCAACTTTAGTACTAATCACCTTTATAGAACACTTTATTCTGAGCTCGTTCTTTGAACATACCGAAATTACATGTAACAGAACCACGCGTAATCCAAAGCTATTATTCGGTGTTGCATCGTTAATTGGTCGAAGATTTTCTGAACACAAAAATAGTAAAACAATCAGACCTTAACACAAGCACTGACTGTGAAAGTTTCTAATTTAGTCGAAGATTTTGTCAACACAAATAACAGAACTGATATTATTGTTCATTCCTCTGTCGGAGACTTGTTTAACAGCAAGCGGCATCTGTAACGTCAGTGTTACAGACTTGCCTACCCCCTTTTAAAGAAAATAGTAAGATCAGCTAAAAAATAGTAAGGCAGGTGCATTTGATAGTAAGGCATGTTAACGTCAAGAAATAAAGGAATAACATAGCTGGTTAAAATCTTAATAAAGCGTATAATAGTCAAATGTGGTGCCGATCTAATTGACGTTTTTTACAGTCTTTCACTTTGAAATAAACTTTACCGCACTGTAAGATGCAAAGATTATTTATTTATAATGTTTTTGATGCGACTCCTGTTTTCAATACTGTATGTACCGTAAATGACTCTGTAAATAGCATGGGCATGTCTATATCTAGTCTTCTACCACGTATTTGTAGAAGTCGTAAGGAATTTTAGTATGATCGTAAGGTCGTAATTTAGAACCAAACATAGTAAGCCTTACGCCAAAATCGTAAGGATAGGCAAGTCTGGTGTTATTCAACTACTATCCAGAACGTCATTCAGCTCTATCCAGAAAGTCGAGCGCTCCCGACATCACTGTGGGACATTACCTACATCTTGGTAAATGACTCCTGGTAAGAAGGGGGCTCGTCCTTAGTAAACCCCGGATTGTCCAGTCCAGCACTATTGTCCAACTTGTCCTGACCACCAGCCTTCGGATCATAGCCGTTCATTTCTCGACTTAAGTCCTTCCCGGCTTCAGGCTCTACCTGGACCTCTATCGTAGCAAGCTGACGAGTTCCTGCGTACCGGAACTTCCGGTTTTCCTCAAGGGCAGGACCCCACTCCGGAAGTGGGGTTGATAGCTGCCTAATCAACTGAAATATTGACACATGTCCAATGTAAAAACGAAAAAACGTACAGATGGAATAAGAATAAAATACTAAAATACATGCAATTAGTGTAAATGTAGTCACATCTGTTGTGGCTTGCTGTTCAGGTCATCGTAGACCTCCTGTTCAGTATGCCTCTGTTTAAGCCGCTGGGACAAGCGATAGACAGTTCTTGGAAGCATTGGGAATCAGCCTATGTAACGGTATCCAACCTTTTGACTATTTTGCGAGTTTAACAATTTTACCATATGCGCAACAACTTTATTAAGAATTTTCCCTGCGAACCAGAAATGGATAATATTTCACAAACTTCATAGATAAAACATTTCAGCTGAAATAATAACATTTTAGCACTGCTAAGCAGCACCAGAGAAGCTGAGATTCTGTGGCACAGCGAGGAGCGACAAATAGATCGGGTTGTCTGGTTCGATAACTTGCTGAACAGCGGGTCTTCTTTCTCCGACAGCGGGAGTCGTTAATATCAATTACTGGATAATCGGGACCACACTCGATTATGTACAGGATACCGCCGTACAGTCCAGGATATTGTCTTAGAGTGGCTTTAAACAAAAGAAAATCAAACAAACCTTATGTATGAGTGAGTGGGCCCGTGGAGGTCCGGGTTAGAATATTGGTCTTCAGTAACCCATGCTTGTCGTAAGAAGCGACTAACGGGATCGGGTGGTCAGGATCGCTGGCTTGGTTGACACATGTCATCGGTTCCCAATTGCACAGATCGATGCTCATGCTGTTGATCACTGGATTGTCTGGTCCAGACTCGATTATTTGCAGACCGCCGCCATATAGCTTGAATATTGCTGAGTGCGGCGTAAAGCTAAACTCACTCACTCACTGATTGAATTTAGTTTTACGCCACCTTTAGCAATATTCCAGCAATATCACGGAGGGGAGCTCCGGAAATGGGGAAATGAGGAATCGAACATGGGTCTTCGGTGTGCGACGAGCGAACACTATAACCACTAAGCTACACCACCATCCCAACATTATATGTTTCAGTGGCAAATATTATCAAGAAGGCGACCATGTGTCGATGGTTAAGATATCGTGACTTTGTCCTCGTGAAGTCGATAGTGTAGGTGTGTAACGTTGGTACTTACATCCCAGCCGCCATTGCGAAGCAGATAGTAGAGAAACCAGCCAGGGATAGCGCAGATGGGAAACAGAACCACCAGCCAACCGAGAGCCTGCGCCCATTCCGGGTAGATGTAGTCGCCATACGTCAGTGGCTTGTACTGGATAGACTTGAACACTATCACTGTCTGTAACATAGGGTGTACTGGATAGACTTGAACACTATCACTGTCTGTAATTTAGGGTGTAGTGGATCGACTTGAACACTACCACTGTCTGCAACATAGGGTGTACTGGATCGACTTGAATACTATCATTGTCTGCAACATAGGGTGTACTGGATCGACTTGAACACTACCACTGTGTGTAACATAGGTTGTACTGGATAGACTTGAACACTACCGATGTCTGCAACATAGGGTGTACTGGATAGACTTGAATACTACCACTGTCTGTAACATAGGGTGTACTGGATAGACTTGAACACTACCACTGTCTGTAATTTAGGGTGTAGTGGATAGACTTGAACACTACCACTGTCTGCAACATAGGGTGTACTGGACCGACTTGAATACTATCATTGTCTGCAACATAGGGTGTACTGGATAGACTTGAACACTACCACTGTCTGTAATATAGGGTGTACTGGATCGACTTGAACACTACCACTGCCTGTAACATAGGGTGTACTGGATAAACTTGAACACTATCACTGTCTGTAATATAGGGTGTACTGGACAGACTTGAACACTACCACTGTCTGTAACATAGGGTGTACTCAATAGACTTGAACACTACCACTGTCTGCAATATAGGGTGTACTGGATAGACTTGAACACTACCCCTGTCTGTAACATAGGGTGTAGTAGATCGACTTGAACACTACCACTGTCTGCAACATAGGGTGTACTGGATCGACTTGAATACTATCATTGTCTGCAACATAGGGTGTACTGGATAGACTTGAACACTACCACTGTCTGTAATATAGGGTGTACTGGATCGACTTGAACACTACCACTGCCTGTAACATAGGGTGTACTGGATAGACTTGAACACTATCACTGTGTGTAACATAGGGTGTACTCAATAGACTTGAACACAAACACTGTCTGTAACATAGGGTGTACTGAATAGACTTTAAAAATACCACTGTCTGTAACATAGGGTGTACTGAATAGACTTCAACACAAACACTGTCTGTAACATAGGGTGTACTGAATAGACTTGAAAAACTACCAGTGCCTGTAACATAGGGTGTACTCAATAGACTTGAACACTACCACTGCCTGTAACATAGGGTGTACTGGATAGACTTGAACACAACCACTGTCTGTAACATAGGGTGTACTGGATAGACTTGAACACTACCACTGTCTGTAACATAGGGTGTAGTGGATAGACTTGAACACTACCACTGTCTGCAACATAGGGTGTACTGGACCGACTTGAATACTATCATTGTCTGCAACATAGGGTGTACTGGATAGACTTGAACACTACCACTGTCTGTAATATAGGGTGTACTGGATCGACTTGAACACTACCACTGCCTGTAACATAGGGTGTACTGGATAGACTTGAACACTATCACTGTCTGTAATATAGGGTGTACTGGATAGACTTGAACACTACCACTGTCTGTAACATAGGGTGTACTCAATAGACTTGAACACTACCACTGTCTGCAATATAGGGTGTACTGGATAGACTTGAACACTACCCCTGTCTGTAACATAGGGTGTAGTAGATCGCCTTGAACACTATCACTGTCTGCAACATAGGGTGTACTGGATCGACTTGAATACTATCACTGTCTGTAACATAGGGTGTACTGGATAGACTTGAACACTACCACTGTCTGTAATATAGGGTGTACTGGATCGACTTGAACACTACCACTGCCTGTAACATAGGGTGTACTGGATAGACTTGAACACTATCACTGTCTGTAACATAGGGTGTACTCAATAGACTTGAACACAAACACTGTCTGTAACATAGGGTGTACTGAATAGACTTCAACACAAACACTGTCTGTAACATAGGGTGTACTGAATAGACTTGAAAACTACCACTGCCTGTAACATAGGGTGTACTCAATAGACTTGAAAATACCACTGTCGGTAACATAGGGTGTACTGGATAGACTTGAACACAACCACTGTCTGTAACATAGGGTGTACTGGATAGACTTGAACACTACCACTGTCTGCAACATAGGGTGTACTGGATAGACTTGAATACTACCACTGTCTGTAACATAGGGTGTACTGGATAGACTTGAACACTACCACTGTCTGTAATTTAGGGTGTAGTGGATAGACTTGAACACTACCACTGTCTGCAACATAGGGTGTACTGGATCGACTTGAATACTATCATTGTCTGCAACATAGGGTGTACTGGATAGACTTGAACACTACCACTGTCTGTAATATAGGGTGTACTGGATCGACTTGAACACTACCACTGCCTGTAACATAGGGTGTACTGGATAGACTTGAACACTATCACTGTCTGTAATATAGGGTGTACTGGATAGACTTGAACACTACCACTGTCTGTAACATAGGGTGTACTCAATAGACTTGAACACTACCACTGTCTGCAATATAGGGTGTACTGGATAGACTTGAACACTACCCCTGTCTGTAACATAGGGTGTAGTAGATCGACTTGAACACTACCACTGTCTGTAATATAGGGTGTACTGGATCGACTTGAACACTACCACTGCCTGTAACATAGGGTGTACTGGATAGACTTGAACACTATCACTGTGTGTAACATAGGGTGTACTCAATAGACTTGAACACAAACACTGTCTGTAACATAGGGTGTACTGAATAGACTTTAAAAATACCACTGTCTGTAACATAGGGTGTACTGAATAGACTTCAACACAAACACTGTCTGTAACATAGGGTGTACTGAATAGACTTGAAAACTACCACTGCCTGTAACATAGGGTGTACTCAATAGACTTGAAAATACCACTGTCTGTAACATAGGGTGTACTGGATAGACTTGAACACAACCACTGTCTGTAACATAGGGTGTACTGGATAGACTTGAACACTACCACTGTCTGTAACATAGGGTGTAGTGGATAGACTTGAACACTACCACTGTCTGCAACATAGGGTGTACTGGACCGACTTGAATACTATCATTGTCTGCAACATAGGGTGTACTGGATAGACTTGAACACTACCACTGTCTGTAATATAGGGTGTACTGGATCGACTTGAACACTACCACTGCCTGTAACATAGGGTGTACTGGATAGACTTGAACACTATCACTGTCTGTAATATAGGGTGTACTGGACAGACTTGAACACTACCACTGTCTGTAACATAGGGTGTTCTCAATAGACTTGAACACTACCACTGTCTGCAATATAGGGTGTACTGGATAGACTTGAACACTACCCCTGTCTGTAACATAGGGTGTAGTAGATCGACTTGAACACTACCACTGTCTGCAACATAGGGTGTACTGGATCGACTTGAATACTATCATTGTCTGCAACATAGGGTGTACTGGATAGACTTGAACACTACCACTGTCTGTAATATATAGGGTGTACTGGATCGACTTGAACACTACCACTGCCTGTAACATAGGGTGTACTGGATAGACTTGAACACTATCACTGTGTGTAACATAGGGTGTACTCAATAGACTTGAACACAAACACTGTCTGTAACATAGGGTGTACTGAATAGACTTCAACACAAACACTGTCTGTAACATAGGGTGTACTGAATAGACTTGAAAACTACCACTGCCTGTAACATAGGGTGTACTCAATAGACTTGAAAATACCACTGTCGGTAACATAGGGTGTACTGGATAGACTTGAACACAACCACTGTCTGTAACATAGGGTGTACTGGATAGACTTGAACACTACCACTGCCTGTAACATAGGGTGTACTGGATAGACTTGAACACAACCACTGTCTGTAAAATAGGGTGTACTGAATAGACTTGAAAACTACCACTGTCTGTAACATAGGGTGTACTGAATAGACTTGAAAACTACCACTGTCTGTAACAAAGGGTGTACTGGATAGACTTGAACACAACCACTGTCTGTAACAAAGGGTGTACTGGATAGACTTGAACACAACCACTGTCTGTAACAAAGGGTGTACTGGATAGACTTGAACGCTACATAGCGGGGTCATAATCTAACACAGACACTCACAAACAACATGGCGGGGTCATGATCAAACGCAGACACTCACAAACAACATGGCCGGGTCATAGGCTAACGGAGACACTCACAAACAACATGGCGGGGTCATAGGCTAACGGAGACACTCACAAACAACATAGCGGGGTCATGATCAAACGCAGACACTCACAAACAACATGGCGGGGTCATAATCTAACACAGACACTCACAAACAACATGGCGGGGTCATAATCTAACGCAGACACTCACAAACAACATGGCGGGGTCATAATCTAACGCAGACACTCACAAACAACATGGCGGGGTCATGATCAAACGCAGACACTCACAAACAACATGGCGGGGTCATAATCTAACGCAGACACTCACAAACAACATGGCGGGGTCATAATCTAACGGAGACACTCACAAACAACATGGCGGGGTCATAATCTAACGCAGACACTCACAAACAACATGGCGGGGTCATAATCTAACACAGACACTCACAAACAACATAGCAGGGTCATAATCTGACGCAGACACTCACAAACAACATGGCGGGGTCATAATCTAACGGAGACACTCACAAACAACATGGCGGGGTCATAATCTAACGCAGACACTCACAAACAACATGGCGGGGTCATAATCTAACGCAGACACTCACAAACAACATGGCCGGGTCATAATCTAACACAGACACTCACAAACAACATGGCGGGGTCATGATCAAACGCAGACACTCACAAACAACATGGTCGGGTCATAGGCTAACGGAGACACTCACAAACAACATGGCGGGGTCATAGGCTAACGGAGACACTCACAAACAACATAGCGGGGTCATGATCAAACGCAGACACTCACAAACAACATGGCCGGGTCATAGGCTAACGGAGACACTCACAAATAACATGGCCGGGGTCATGATCAAACGCAGACGCTCACAAACAACATGGCCGGGTCATAGGCTAACGGAGACACTCACAAACAACATGGCGGGGGTCATGAAGCACCAACAGAACCTCCAGTAGACAGACGGACGTCTGCCCAGCATCATAGAGATGTCCTCGGAGAACCGACTGTAACCTGCAGTAGACACCACACTGTCAGAGAATTTCATTCTATTATGTTTACAAACAATTCCCTAGACATATAGTCTAAATATGAACTGGTATATTTTCTCACTTTAAGGACGGGCAGATGAAGATTGAATTAGTTATTGAAGGAGTTTATTTTTAAGAGTAAACACGGGTTTGTCTTTGGAAATAGATCTTGAAAAGATTGTTTTAAGGAAAATGATACTACATAGTATTTGGGGTAAAAGTACAGGCTGTCATTTCGGAGAAAAGTTAACAGTATTAAATGTTAAGTGAAAGGGGTTTGGTGGGTGAGTGAGTTGTGGACGTGGGGTGTGTGGGCGTTTTATGGATTGAAATAGATATTGATTTGTCTTTGAGAGTCGATATAGGTGCATGAGCACATTTTAATTCTGTTTCTTTTAGAGTACCTAGTGACAGTGCTGCCTGTGAGTGCTTGCATTAATGGTATTAATTACGAAGAGGAGAGAGAAGCTTTTACCGTAGATGTAGTTGATGGCAATACACTCCACCAATCCAACAAACAGGAGTGGGAAGCCGCCGACGGAGCTGTCTAATAGCTCCAACAGGTACACCCCACCCTACAACATCAACAGCAACCATTACCGTCAACAGTCAGTAAAACTTCTTATAAAACTGAGTATATTATACATAATATAGATATAATTAATATATACTGAACAAGAAATGTTAGGGATTAGTCCATTGTATTATGTATTTTCGTTCAAAGAAATTGGAGATTAGCAACAGCATGCATATTCTGAAACCACTCACTACACTTAACATAAAAAGCAATGTTTCCAATTTTTCCAAACATCCCATTGGCGGCCATCTTGGATTTCAAAATGGCCGCCATATTCAATAATGTGCAACCCTTTCTTCACCTTTAAATGCTATTCTGTTTCTAGTTCCACTATTGAAAAATATATATGCTGTTAAGGATTACTTGTATACACCAACGTACCTAAGACACAGTTACTGTGTATACATGAAGGGAACATGTTACTATAATGTAGGGTTTTTTTCACTTTAAGAGAAAGTGAAAATTTGGAAACATTGTTTTTTGCAGAAAGTAAACCCTATAGAGTGTACAAAACCACACAGAAACAAATCTCCAATTCTTTTTAACGACAAATTAAAAGTGAACTAGATAGATCATGAACATTTTGAGTGAGTGAGTGAGTTGAGTTTTACGCCGCTACTAGCAATATTCCAACAATATCACGGTGGGGGACACCGGAAATGGGCTTAACACATTGTACCCACATGAGGACAGTTTCCTTACAGGACATTTATTCGGAACTAGCAAGACAGCTAAATAAAATAATGGTAAATAAAATAAGTTTGGAGTAAAATGCCAATAATAAGAAATGCTGACATACTCGTTAGACTTTCTGTCACAGATGTAAGTTCTTGTGACATGTACAACACGAAAACTTAAAACATTTGTTGTTTATTATTTCCCATATCCTATAAATGTGTTCTGTTTCTCAAAATAGTTCATTATCTCGGAGGGTTTTTGTTTAGAGAATACGCACGTAGGCCCTTTAGTCTGATACTGGCTGCTTGGTAATAACACCTGGCACTGTGAACGGTGCGCATAAATCAGATCAGATCAGCGTTGAGAATAAATGGAAGGCTGACAACTTGACTCCTGGGAGGGAGGGAGTGAGTTTAGTTTTACGCCGCACTCAGCAATATTCAAGCTATATGGCGGCGGTCTGCAAATAATCGAGTATGGACCAGACAATCCATTGTTTAACAGCATGAGCATCGATCTGCGTAGTTGGGAACCGATGACATGTGTCAACCAAGACAGCGAGCCTGACCATCCGACCCTGTTAGTCGCCTCTTACGACAAGCATGGGTTACTGAAGATCAATATTTGTTTTTTTTGGGGGGTCCATTTTAGTTTTTTTGTTTTGTCTTGTTTTTTTGTTGTTGTTTTGGGTTTTTTGTGGGGAGCGGTTCTATCCTACACAGAAACACATGTATCGCTTTAGCAACTGATTTGTTCGGATTTTGCATCCGCCTAGCAGTGAATGGGTACCCGATAGGATGAGATTGTATCAGTTAACCTTGGGTTGGACACTCCGAAGGGAGCTGAGAACGAAATTCGACTCAACATTGATACATTGCCCAGGATAAAGAAAAGTAACGCTGTAAGCAATATAAACAGTGCTATTTTTTATCCAACGCACAGTATAAGTGGTTTTGAAGTACTCATGTCGGTTAACATGGACGCGGGTGAAATATGATCTCAAGAAGGAAGAGGACTATGGACCACATTTACCATGCACCTTGACAGTACTCACGTTTGTAGTCATGGGTAAAGCCATGCATCTTGACAGTACTCACGTTTGTAGTCATGGGTAAAGCCATGAGGTAGAAGCAGACACACAGAGATATTCGGAAGAGGGTTGAGTTACGGAAGCTTTTCCGGAGGATCCAGTCGTACTCGTCAGAGATGGAGGAGATGATTGTTTCGATGATGGAGAACTGAAACACATAGGCGATGGTCTTACATGGTGAGGTTCAGGAATTACAGTCTGGTCACCTGCAGTTGTAGCTGTAGCTGCTGACAGTGAATATTGCTGTTTGTTGTACCTGTAGCGTGAGTGAATATTGCTGTTTGTTGTAGCTGTAGCGTGAGTGAATATTGCTGTTTGTTGTAGCTGTACCGTGAGTGAATATTGATGTTTGTTGAATATTGCTGTATGCCGTGAGTGAATATTGATGTTTGTTGTAGCGTACCTGTTGTAGCGTGAGTGAATATTGCTGTTTGTTGTACCTGTAGCGTGAGTGAATATTGCTGTTTGTTGTAGCTGTAGCGTGAGTGAATATTGAATATTGTAGCGTGTTTGTTGTGAGCTGTAGCGTGAGTGAATATTGCTGTTTGTTGCGTGATCTGTTTGTTGTAGCTGTAGCGTGAGTGAATATTGCTGTTTGTTGTAGCTGTAGTATTGGTGAATATTGCTGTTTGTTGTAGCTGTAGTATTGGTGAATATTGCTGTTTGTTGTAGCTGTAGTATGGGTGAATATTGCTGTTTGTTGTAGCTGTAGCGTGAGTGAATATTGCTGTTTGTTGTAGCTGTAGCGTGAGTGAATATTGCTGTTTGTTGTAGCTGTAGCGTGAGTGAATATTGCTGTTTGTTGTATATGTAGCGTGAGTGAATATTGCCGTTTGTTGTAGCTGTAGTATTGGTGAATATTGCTGTTTGTTGTAGCTGTAGTGTGAGTGAATATTGCTGTTTGTTGTATCTGTAGTATGGGTGAATATTGCTGTTTGCTGTACCTGTAGCGTGAGTGAATATTGCTGTTTGTTGTAGCTGTAGCGTGAGTGAATATTGCTGTTTGTTGTAGCTGTAGCGTGAGTGAATATTGCTGTTTGTTGTAGCTGTACCGTGAGTGAATATTGCTGTTTGTTGTAGCTGTAGCGTGAGTGAATATTGCTGTTTGTCGTACCTGTAGCGTGAGTGAATATTGCTGCTTGTTGTAGCTGTAGCGTGAGTGAATATTGCTGTTTGTTGTAGCTGTAGCGTGAGTGAATATTGCTGTTTGTTGTATCTGTAGCGTGAGTGAATATTGATGTTTGTTGTAGCTGTAGTATTGGTGAATATTGCTGTTTGTTGTAGCTGTAGTATGGGTGAATATTGCTGTTTGTTGTAGCTGTAGCGTGAGTGAATATTGCTGTTTGTTGTAGCTGTAGCGTGAGTGAATATTGCTGTTTGTTGTAGCTGTAGCGTGAGTGAATATTGCTGTTTGTTGTATATGTAGCGTGAGTGAATATTGCCGTTTGTTGTAGCTGTAGTATTGGTGAATATTGCTGTTTGTTGTAGCTGTAGTGTGAGTGAATATTGCTGTTTGTTGTATCTGTAGTATGGGTGAATATTGCTGTTTGCTGTACCTGTAGCGTGAGTGAATATTGCTGTTTGTTGTAGCTGTAGCGTGAGTGAATATTGCTGTTTGTTGTAGCTGTAGCGTGAGTGTATGTTGCTGTTTGTTGTAGCTGTAGCGTGAGTGAATATTGCTGTTTGTTGTACCTTTAGCGTGAGTGAATGTTGCTGTTTGTTGCAGCTGTAGCGAGAGTGAATGTTGCTGTTTGTTGTAGCTGTAGCGTGAGTGAATATTGCTGTTTGTTGTAGCTGTAGCGTGAGTGAATGTTGCTGTTTGTTGTAGCTGTAGCGTGAGTGAATGTTGCTGTTTGTTGTACCTGTAGCGTGAGTGAATATTGCTGTTTGTTGTAGCTGTAGCGTGAGTGAATGTTGCTGTTTGTTGTAGCTGTAGCGTGAGTGAATGTTGCTGTTTGTTGTACCTGTAGCGTGAGTGAATATTGCTGTTTGCTGTAGCCGTAGCGTGAGTGAATATTGCCCACACCTGATAGAAGTCATATTACATATGAGTCATGACCGTCTTTATGTAATCTCGTCCAGGCAAACCAGTTGTCTATAGTTCAAGCGGGGGACACAAAAAACGGGCTTTACATATTGTACCCATATGGGGATTCGAACCCGGACGGGCGAACGCTTTAACCACTAGCCTACCCCACCATCCCTGATCACCCCGAACGGTAAGAATCATGCATTATAGACTTGATTCTACCTATTTTAGCGTCAGTTCTAACCTGCGAGCTGAATCCTATGATAACCATCATGAAGAAGAACAGGATGGCCCAGACGGTGGGTGCCGGCATGCTGGCCAGAGCTTCCGGGTAGGCCACGAATGCTAGCCCTGGACCTGTCAGGGATAAAGTCTGGAAGTCAATAACTAGCAGTGACTGGGACACATCGGAATTATGTTTTCATGATATTAGTGAGTGAGTGAGGTTTAAAGCTAACCTGGTATATGTAAAATGTTATAAATATAGTGTTTCGACACACAGCGCCATATCTTAACGAAAGGTGGAAAGTTTAATGCATAATTTGTTAAAGCATTCTATTACTTAAAGCATATTATTCCGTACACAGGTATACATTGTGGAGATTATTTGATGCACATGAATTTAGATATAAAAAAACTCTAAAAACTATTGAGCGAACTTCTACCTAACCAAAAGTGAGCATTTTTCTCTCCTTCATCGAATCCTACCCAGCCAACACTACTTATTTTCTCAACTTAAGCGAACTCCTACCTTACCAACAGTGAGTATTTTTCTCAATCCTACCTTACATACAATGAATAGTCGAACACCTGGCTAGCTATTCTCGAACGTTCGTAGCCCTACGAACTTCTTTAGCCCATTCATGACACTTTGCCTACGATCAAAGTTAAGAATTCTTAGGGCTACGAACGTTTCGAGAATAAGAACCCTGGTTCACCTGCGTAACACCTACCCCGATGTAAAGCAAACACCTGTATTGGATGTTGTGAATCTGTCTTACCTACATCAACATCTGCATCGACACTAACATCACGTACCTCCAGCGGCAACATCGGCTACGGTGACCTGTTTATTGTACGCCATGAACCCCAGCACAGTGAACACCACGAACCCCGAGAAGAAGCTGGTGAGACAGTCCACTAGAGGAACGATCAGGGCGTCCCTGGGAGGGACAGAAAACGGTTGTCAAGTGAACGTAGGGAGGCTCATATATAGGGCCTAGACGTGTGGAACAGTTACATCGTTCATGGGGAAATCATGTTGAAATTAATTAGGACGAATACGGGATTGAACCCGCAGCGGATCCTGGCATCGCTCAATAGCCCTGACACACACCTCAGACAATTGTTGTCGAACTTGTTGAAGCTGGCCATGAGGACCAGGCCCCAGAGCACGCACTAAGGGAGTAGAACACCTGAGTGGCTGCGTCACTCCACACCTGGAAGCAAGCATGGTCAGAGGACGAAGATGAACCAATAGCAGTTTACCGTAATATACTATGATATACTATATATTATGTAAATGAATAAATCCCAGAGCTACGCACATGCCAACAATTATCATCTATTAATATTTGTTTGTTTATCAATCAGATCATCTGTTGTTTTTAGGAACAATAGATCGCAACGTTTGGAACATTTTGGAACGATTCTGCTTTGCGAGCCTATAATGCACAGCATCAGCATTACCTCTGAGTCGGCCAGCCGTTCCCATTTGGGCGTCAGATAGTACAGGATGCCATCAGACGCCCCATCTAGTGTGGCGCCCCGGATAAGCAGCGCCGTCAGTAGCAGGTAGGGGAAGGTGGCGGTGAAGTAGACGACCTGCAGCATACACCGGTCTCAGTCAGGCTGGGGCAGGGGAATCAAGTCTCAGGGAGATTAAGTGAGGTCACGAGTCTGAGTTAGGCTGGGACAGGGAGTAGAGCAGACTCATTCAGGGCTGGACAGGGAACACTCAGTCACAGGGCAGGGTACGGAACAGAGCAGTCTGATGCAGGGCTGGACAGGGAACACTCAGTCACAGGGCAGGGTACGGAACAGAGCAGTCTGATGCAGGGCTGGACAGGGAACACTCAGTCACAGGGCAGGGCAGGGAGCAGAGCAGCCTCTTTCAGGGCTGGACAGGGAACACTCAGTCACAGGGCAGGACAGGGAACAGAGCAGTCTGATTCAGGGCTGGACAGGGAACACTCAGTCACAGGGCAGGACAGGGAACAGAGCAGTCTGATTCAGGGCTGGACAGGGAACACTCAGTCACAGGGCAGGACAAGGAGCAGAGCAGTTTAATTCAGGGCTGGACGGGGTACACTCAGTCACAGGGCAGGACAGGGAACAGAGCAGTCTCATTCAGGGCTGGACGGGGAACACTCAGTCACAGGATGACAAGGGGCAGAGCAGCCTCTTTCAGGGGCTGGACAGGGGACACTCAGTCACAGGGCAGGACAGGGAACAGAGCAGTCCCATTCAGGGCTGGACAGGGGAACACTCAGTCACAGGGCAGGACAGGGAGCAGAGCAGTCTCATTCAGGGCTGGACAGGGAACACTCAGTCACAGGGCAGGACAGGGAGCAGAGCAGCCTCTTTCAGGGCTGGACAGGGAACACTCAGTCACAGGGCAGGACAAGGAGCAGAGAGCAGTCTCATTCAGGGCTGGACAGGGAACACTCAGTCACAGGGCAGGACAAGGAGCAGAGCAGTCTCATTCAGGGCTGGACAGGGAACACTCAGTCACAGGGCAGGACAAGGAGCAGAGCAGTCTCATTCAGGGCTGGACAGGGAACACTCAGTCACAGGGCAGGACAGGGAACAGAGCAGTCTCATTCAGGGCTGGACAGGGAACACTCAGTCACAGGGGCAGGACAGGGAACAGAGCAGTCTGATTCAGGGCTGGACAGGGAACACTCAGTCACAGGGCAGGAGGACAAGGAGCAGAGCAGTTTAATTCAGGGTTGGACAGGGGTACACTCAGTCACAGGGCAGGACAGGGAACAGAGCAGTCTGATTCAGGGCTGGACAGGGAACACTCAGTCACAGGGCAGGACAAGGAGCAGAGCAGTTTAATTCAGGGTTGGACGGGGTACACTCAGTCACAGGGCAGGACAGGGAACAGAGCAGTCTCATTCAGGGCTGGACGGGGAACACTCAGTCACAGGATGACAAGGGGCAGAGCAGCCTCTTTCAGGGCTGGACAGGGGACACTCAGTCACAGGGCAGGACAGGGAACAGAGCAGTCTCATTCAGGGCTGGACGGGGAACACTCAGTCACAGGGCAGGACAAGGAGCAGAGCAGTTTAATTCAGGGGTTGGACGGGGGTACACTCAGTCACAGGGCAGGACAGGGAACAGAGCAGTCTCATTCAGGGCTGGACGGGGAACACTCAGTCACAGGATGACAAGGGGCAGAGCAGCCTCTTTCAGGGCTGGACAGGGGACACTCAGTCACAGGGCAGGACAGGGAACAGAGCAGTCTCATTCAGGGCTGGACGGGGAACACTCAGTCACAGGGCAGGACAAGGAGCAGAGCAGCCTCTTTCAGGGCTGGACAGGGAACACTCAGTCACAGGGCAGGACAAAGGAGCAGAGCAGTCTCTTTCAGGGCTGGACGGGGAACACTCAGTCACAGGGCAGGACAAGGAGCAGAGCAGTCTCATTCAGGGCTGGACAGGGAACACTCAGTCACAGGGCAGGACAAGGAACAGAGCAGTCTCATTCAGGGCTGGACGGGGAACACTCAGTCACAGGGCAGGACAGGGAGCAGAGCAGTCTCATTCAGGGCTGGACAGGGAACACTCAGTCACAGGGCAGGACAGGGAGCAGAGCAGTCTCATTCAGGGCTGGACGGGGAACACTCAGTCACAGGGCAGGACAAGGAGCAGAGCAGCCTCTTTCAGGGCTGGACAGGGAACACTCAGTCACAGGGCAGGACAAGGAGCAGAGCAGTCTCATTCAGGGCTTGGACGGGGTACACTCAGTCACAGGGCAGGACAGGGAACAGAGCAGTCTCATTCAGGGCTGGACAGGGAACACTCAGTCACAGGGCAGGACAGGGAACAGAGCAGTCTAATTCAGAGCTGGACAGGGAACACTCAGTCACAGGACGACAAGGAGCAGAACAGTCTCTTTCAGGGCTGGATAGGGAACTCAGTCTCATTCAGGACAGGACAGGGAGCAGAGCAGTGTCGTTCAGGCAACGACGGGGAAAACACACCAGCCACCGTCAAACTAGGACAGGGAACAGAACAAAATTGAATTTGCTGCTATTAGAACATGACGAGTGGCTATAACATGATGACTGGTTGAATTCCTTCACTTTGATACATCACTGAAGAGGATGGAACGTAGTCCCGAAGGGGCCTTTAGTGACACTTATGTCGACACCCACTCTTATCGTACATAAATAACTCAATCGTTCTTCAGTGGTCCCTGGTGTTCGCAGTATTGAGACTCTGATATCACCTCACAGTTTGTTACTTGTCACATATAACAGTGACATGATGAAACTGTAAAACTTTATTTTTTCAGAATAGTTTGTTAACAGTATAACATATACTATATGCAGCTACCTTTCCCAGTGACTTGATTCCCTTGATCAGTACTCCGAAGACAATAAACCACGCCAGCAGCAGGCACAGACTAAGACGCCAGTTTAGGCCACCCATGTTATCCATTCCGTCGTCAGACATCTTCAGCACGTAGTTCCTAAAACACCGGGTGTCAGGGTATGAGACATCGTGAAAGAGATGTCACCAAACGTAGTTTTTGGTAACTCACTTTGTTAGAAAATACCAAATAAAGCATAGATGCTTGCAGAATGTATAATTTCATGAACTCCGGGTGTCGTGATGCTGACAGCTGTAGTACAAATGCTAGTATACGTGGTTATTTGCAGTAAGTGATACGGGAACCCCGTGTGTCACAAGAATGACAAATTCAGATACGTGTGTGCGATGTATATATTGAAGGACCGTGACTGAAAAATGTATTAAAAAATGTAACAGAAATTATTCAAATTCTAAATTAATTACCCATACCCTTGTCGGGTTGTTGCAAAACACACACATTTGAGAAAGCGATCACATGATATTCAATATATAGTAATATGTCAAACTGTGTGCATCTGTTGAAATGGCGAAAGGCGGCATTTGTGATAAGAAACAATTATAACTAGCGGCTATGCGTTCTATTGTCGGGTCATGCTCCCAATGTCTGGATGATTGCCAAAGGAAGATTTTTACACGCTTCAGTAAGAGCATTGCCGAGTTTCGCTTGAGTTGCCTGACGACATCGTGAGAGGGCGACCTGCAACTCGTTCGGGGCGAAGTCTATTGACCGATCTGGCCACTCCATGCAACCAGTGGTCACTCCCTCTCTCCAACATCAACGATCCAGGCACGATGAGGCTCAGCGTTATCATACGTAAGGATGAAGTCCGTTCCAGTTGCTCACGAATACTGTTTCACGTAAATATCTAGAATGTCATTCATTGCCGCACACCTGTATCGTTGATGTAGGACGTGGAAGTCGTTTCCTCTAGCCTTACCGATCCAATCAAGACTGAGCTCCATAGTGGTCATATTCAGGTAGTTCGAATCCAGAAATCTGAAATCTATTGGAATCTTGGTCTGTCCGATTGACGTGATCTTCAGTCCAATCCAAACGTCCCTGTCTGTAATGTCGGGTCGATAGGATGCGAATGCATGCCCTCCGTGACGGAAAACCAGCCTCACGGAGACGATTACACACTGTCTGATTAGAAACATTGACGCCGCTTGCGTTCCGCAGGTCATTTCTGAGTGTGATGGAAGTCACGAACTCATCACGTCCTGTTGCATCAGGATAAACCTGCCTTCCTGCTGTGTTGTGGAACGGTGTCGACAGCCTTTATATGGCTGAGTAACTGATCAACACGTCTGGTATCAATTCTATGGCCTGTTCATCAGACCTTGGCTGACCAAAGGCGTTCAGAACGTGACGGTGTGTTGACCCAGTGTCAAGCACGCCTGTACGTCTGCCTTATATGAATATCGGCATTTCAGATATTTTGAAATAACTCCCAAGTGACACTACTACGCATTCAGACTGACTATTACACCACCCCACTTGACCTAAATTGGTTACACTTCACAATCCACGGCTGTCAAAACAGTTGTTTATGGTGACAGTGTTATTTACAATTTGCATGAGAGCAGACTACAATCCCGATCTGTAATTTTGATCAACAATAACCTTGTTAAAATTAACCTACTGGCAAAGTCTCATTGTCATCGGGGGCGTTGGGGTAGCCTAGTGGTTAAAGCGTTCGCTCGTCACGCCGAAGACCCAGGTTCGATTTCCCACATGGGTACAATGTGTGAAGCCCATGTCTGGTGTTCCCCGCCGTGATATTGCAGGAATATTGCTAAAAGCAGAGTAAAACCATACTCACTCACCTCTTGTCAACGGAACTACCCTGAATTATGTCTGAATCAGTATTTTCCGACAAGAAATAAATAAGGGAACATATGAATGTACAAGCGTTCCTTTATTCTTTGTGACTGTGGATGTTCATGATTTCACGGTTTCAGATGACACCATGTGATGGGAGTGGGACCGTTTGTGACCCTGACAGTGGGTGAATCCAGGGTGATGTATGTTTAACGTAAGTGTGGGTGTTCGGAAACAGATTCCACCATGCTTGATAGACTGCTAGCGGTATCCATTAATGTATGTGTCGGTACCTTCGTTATCAAATATGTCGCTCGTAATTCCACCGTGACGCATTTTGTGTATAAAGGCTTTTAATTGGAATTGAATAACTGTTTTTCAGGTTGCTTAGAATTACTAGAATAAAACTTTATTCGGTATCATGGTGACATTAAAGATAGCTGAATAGCACTAAGTCTTTGATTGTGAAACATTTAACAAACAGAATTGCCTTACACCAGATGCAGAATCATACTCACACAAAGAAGTCCTCGCTGGCTGAGATCGTTGTGTTGTACATCGCTGTGGGCAAATTGTGACAACAATGTTATACCAGCACATTGCGACTAGACATGATGTTTTGAATTCAGGCTATTAAGAGGGACTGTCACACCAAACAATGGTTAAACCCAACCTATGGACACAGACACAGACACAGACAAGATGGATCCTCCACCAGATAATGGTTCAACACTACCTACGGCCACATCCAAGGTGGTTCCTGCACTGGACAATGGTTACACACTACCTACAGCCACATACAAGGTGGTTCCTACACTGGACAATGGTTACACACTACCTACAGCCACATACAAGGTGGTTCCTACACTGGACAATGGTTACACACTACCTACAGCCACATCCAAGGTGGTTCCTACACTGGACAATGGTTACACACTACCTACAGCCACATACAAGGTGGTTCCTACACTGGACAATGGTGACACACTACCTACAGACACATACAAGGTGGTTCCTACACTGGACAATGGTTACACACTACCTACAGCCACATACAAGGTGGTTCCTACACTGGACAATGGTTACACACTACCTACAGCCACATACAAGGTGGTTCCTACACTGGACAATGGTTACACACTACCTACAGACACATACAAGGTGGTTCCTACACTGGACAATGGTTACACACTACCTACAGCCACATACAAGGTGGTTCCTACACTGGACAATGGTTACACACTACCTACAGCCACATACAAGGTGGTTCCTACACTGGACAATGGTTACACACTACCTACAGACACATACAAGGTGGTTCCTACACTGGACAATGGTTACACACTACCTACAGCCACATACAAGGTGGTTCCTACACTGGACAATGATTACACACTACCTACAGCCACATACAAGGTGGTTCCTACACTGGACAATGGTTACACACTACCTACAGACACATACAAGGTGGTTCCTACACTGGACAATGGTTACACACTAGCTACAGACACATACAAGGTGGTTCCTACACTGGACAATGATTACACACTACCTACAGACACATTCAAGGTGGTTCCTACACTGGACAATGATTACACACTACCTACAGACACATACAAGGTGGTTCCTACACTGGACAATGGTTACACACTACCTACAGACACATACAAGGTGGTTCCTACACTGGACAATGATTACACACTACCTACAGCCACATACAAGGTGGTTCCTACACTGGACAATGATTACACACTACCTACAGCCACATACAAGGTGGTTCCCTACACTGGACAATGATTACACACTACCTACAGCCACATCCAAGGTGGTTCCTACACTGGACAATGATTACACACTACCTACAGCCACATACAAGGTGGTTCCTACACTGGACAATGATTACACACTACCTACAGACACATACAAGGTGGTTCCTACACTGGACAATGATTACACACTACCTACAGCCACATACAAGGTGGTTCCTACACTGGACAATGGTTAGACACTACCTACAGACACATACAAGGTGGTTCCTACACTGGACAATGGTTACACACTACCTACAGCCACATACAAGGTGGTTCCTACACTGGACAATGGTTACACACTACCTACAGACACATACAAGGTGGTTCCTACACTGGACAATGGTTACACACTACCTACAGCCACATACAAGGTGGTTCCTACACTGGACAATAATTACACACTACCTACAGCCACATACAAGGTGGTTCCTACACTGGACAATGATTACACACTACCTACAGCCACATACAAGGTGGTTCCTACACTGGACAATGGTTACACACTACCTACAGCCACATACAAGGTGGCTCCCTCAGCTAACAAGACCCGTGAAGGTCCGGGCTAGAATTAATCTTCAGTAACCCATGCTTGTCGTAAAAGGCGACTAACGGGCGGTCAGGCTCGCTGACTTCGTTGAGACACGTCATCGTATCCCAATTGTGTATATCGATCCTCATGCTGTTGATCCTTGGATTTTCTGGTCCAGACTCGATTATTTACAGACCGCCGCCATATAGTTGCGTAAAACTAAACTCACTTACTAAGCTAACAACAACTAAACCCTACCCACTGACAGGATGGACAATGGCTAACCTCTACCTACAGACACTGACTAGGTGGTGCCTACACTAGACAATGGTTAACCTCTACCTACAGACACTGACTAGGTGGTGCCTACACTAGACAATGGTTAACCTCTACCTACAGACACTGACTAGGTGGTGCCTACACTAGACAATGGTTAACCTCTACCTACAGACACTGACTAGGTGGTGCCTACACTAGACAATGGGTAACCTCTACCTACAGACACTGACTAGGTGGTGCCTACACTAGACAATGGTTAACCTCTACCTACAGACACTGACTAGGTGGTGCCTACACTAGACAATGGGTAACCTCTACCTACAGACACTGACTAGGTGGTGCCTACACTAGACAATGGTTAACCTCTACCTACAGACACTGACTAGGTGGTGCCTACACTAGACAATGGTTAACCTCTACCTACAGACACTGACTAGGTGGTGCCTACACTAGACAATGGTTAACCTCTACCTACAGACACTGACTAGGTGGTGCCTACACTAGACAATGGTTAACCACTACCTACAGACACTGACTAGGTGGTGCCTACATTAGACAATGGTTAACCTCTACCTACAGACACTGACTAGGTGGTGCCTACACTAGACAATGGTTAACCTCTACCTACAGACACTGACTAGGTGGTGCCTACACTAGACAATGGTTAACCTCTACCTACAGACACTGACTAGGTGGTGCCTACACTAGACAATGGTTAACCTCTACCCACAGACACTGACTAGGGTGGTGCCTACACTAGACAATGGTTAACCTCTACCTACAGACACTGACTAGGTGGTGCCTACACTAGACAATGGTTAACCTCTACCTACAGACACTGACTAGGTGGTGCCTACACTAGACAATGGTTAACCTCTACCTACAGACACTGACTAGGTGGTGCCTACACTAGACAATGGTTAACCTCTACCTACAGACACTGACTAGGTGGTGCCTACACTAGACAATGGTTAAACTATCCTACTGACATTTACAGTAGTGAGTCCTACACCAGGGAATGTTTAAAGGGAACATACTCATGTTGAGGGTAGCATTAGAGTTGTTAGCGCTCCTACTGTCAACGATGCAGTTGGGACTGTTCCAGTCATTGTCGCAGTGAGACCAAGGGAAGCGTCGACTGCATCGAGGAGAAGAAGTAGAAGAAGCACCAGCCGATGATGACGTTGTAGTAGATGCCGATAAGACCCGACACGATCACCATGCTGTAGCCGAGCCCTGTAGTGAAGGACGTCACAGATGCCTTCTATACTCATGCCAATAATGGTTGTCACCCCTCCCCACCCCAACCCCACACACACCTCACCCCCACCCCTCTCCAATTTATAAATTTGAAGGGGTGACAACCATTATTGGCATGAGTATATATCAATTACAGTCAGTATTGGATATAACGCATACAATTTCAAAAACATGCTTGACAATTATTTTACATGCACCTATCACACAGATACAACAGACTACATGTGAACTATGTTTCACATGACAACAGAAAAACCAAGACTACATATACTGAGGGAAATAAATAAGGGAACATATCAATGTACAAGCGTTCCTTTATTCTTTTCCAGGTTACTTCTCAAGCTTTGTCTTGCATTGTGGGTGAAATTCTGGGAAGATATAAAGGAACATTGCGATGAAGTGGTGTTCTCTTTTTTGTTTCCTTCAGTATATGAGATACGTTATACATGCCTACAGACTGCATAGAATGTTACCCTATGTAGGCCTACAGACTAAACAGACTGGATGTGCTACATGTGCCTACAGACTGTACAATTATCCAACCTTTAAAAAGAGGGTTGACCTTCCACACAGTGATGGGTCCAAGACTGGCGAACTGGCCGAAGGACAGCTCCATGAAGAACAGCGGCATCCCCACAAACAGCTGCATGATCCAGTAGGGGATGAGGAACGCACCTGTGTCAGATTTATTCAGGAATCCTTCATATACACCCATCGTAAACAATCTAATGATAAATTCAACCATAGTCAAGTATCCATCGTGATATATTTCTGTGTTTAAAGGTCTATAACATGTCTGTATTTTACCTCCTCCATTCTTGAAAGCAAGGTAGGGGAACCTCCACACGTTACCGAGGCCAACGGCGTAGCCGACACAGGTGAGGATGAACTCTAGCTTGCCGCCCCAGTTGCCGCGCTTCATCCCTTCCTTGTCTGTCTCGGAGGCAGTCACGCCCTCTTCCGCCGTCATCTGAAAGAGTGAATGAGTAACTTTTAGTCGACGCCGTCTACTTTCGTCTATACTATACTCTCCCAAAAAAGAAACGCATATAGGAATTTCAACTGTATTTTTATGTTTATTTTAAAACATCTTGTAGGCTTTATGAGTCAATGAAATATAGCGAAATTTGCTCACTGGGAATGCAGACTTATCCGTCTTTGGCACCAACTCGAGGAAAGTCAGTTTGAGTGTCACATGGAGACGTGTGGTGGCGCTGAAGTCAATACCTCGTGTGACCACCGTGGGCATCCAGAACTGCACGGCATCGCCTCGGCATCGAACGAATAAGTCTCAGAATCTCGTGTTGCCCAATCGCAGCCCACTCTGCCTGTAGTGCCTGTGCGAGTTGCTGAAGTGTCTGGGGCTGAGGGTTACGGCGTCGCACCCGTCTGTCAAGGGCATCCCACAGATGTTCGATCGGGTTTAAGTCCGGTGATCTTGAGGGCCAGGGGAGCACATTGATGTTGTGGTTCTGGAGGAAGTCTCTAGTGTGACGTGCTGTGTGGGGCCTGGCATTGTCCTGTTGAAACAACTCCCTCTGGCGATCAATGATTGGAAGGAGGTGTGGGCGTAAGACTTCGTCACAGTACCGTTGAGCTGTCAGGTTGCCCTGGATCATCACAAAATCACTTCCCCTACGGCGGGTGATCTCTCCCAACACTTCCCCGACGGAATCTGTCCACCTGGGGAACGCAAGCGTCGGCGAAACGTTCACGTCAATGTCTGTACACCCGCATTCTTCCATCGCGTCGTTCCAATAGAAATCGTGATTCATCACTGAACCAGATTCTACGCCAATTCGGTAGGTTCCAGGCCTGAACGTTGGTGCACCATTGAAATCGATTGTCGAAGCACAGGGCCAAAATAAGGTCTTCTGGCACGTAAACCAGCCTCTCTCAACCTGTTCCTGACGGTCTGTGCAGACAGCCTCCTCAATCCGGGTAATTGTCGAGCGGTACTGGTCGCCGTAGCTGTTCGATGACGCAGGTGATGTACCCGGATGTAGCGATCCTGCGCCGCAGTGGTCGCTCGAGGTCGCCCACTACGAGGGGCATCTGCTACCGCATTCTGCCGGCGATATCTCTCCCAGAGCCGTGAAATGGTGCTTTGGTGAACATTCATGCGTCGGGCAAGTGCACGTTGAGACTGGCCAGCTTCAAGCAAACCAATGGCGATATGACGGTTGGCTTCACTTAGATGTGGCATTTTGCGTTCGTCAACAATATTCCAAATACAGTGAATAATCGACAGACAGCGATCAACCTTTTATACCCATCATTGAGACTATCTGATCTCCAACTTTCACGTGCATTGCATGGGAATTGTGTATTCTGTGACACTACACGCCGAAATTGAAAATCATGCTGTTAAATACGGGTATTTTACGGATGGTGCGTTTTGTTGTGATGTTTCAAAACATAAACACCATAGGACTCATAAACAGAGCAAAACCTTTTGTAAACTGAATAACGTTTTAATTCATTGCTACATGAAATTGCTATATTTATGATGCGTTTCCTTTTTGGGAAAGTATATTATTTTGTGTTATCATTGAGTCATGGGTGAAAATAACCCCAGGTCAGCAACACATAGGTTATGTCTGAAGACAACTAATTCTATCAAACTTTGAAAGTTCCGTGTTACATCTGGTCTTCAGCAACCGATGTTTGTGGTATCAAAGCTCCAGATTCGATTGTTTAAACACGGTCGTCATAAAGCTTTGTGTGACGTTAAACAAATATCAGCGTCTTCAAAAAACGTATTTTTTTTAGATATACATGGTGTAAGTGTTCAGATAACATGTCGCTGGATTATCCCAACAAAAAAACATTGAATATTGTTAAGTGACACTTTTAAAAACTGTTGGCAACGATCACGCCTGCCATGTTCTCAAACAAACCCCTTAGTTTGAAAGCACAACAAGTTTAGTTGGGACTTTCGACTTTCCGCTTTGTAAATACACAACCTTAAGGGTTCTTGGACTTTTCTAACAACTTGTGTGTAATGTCTAGGCTTTTAACGAATTGACAGGTCTAACGCCAATACGATCCAAATTGATGTTTAACGTACAGTATTTAGCACAAATTAACAGTTCTTATCCGCCAGTAAATTAGTTTCATCTATGTATATTTAGTGTTTATTCAACTGTCGACCATACATATATTTATGGCTTTCGTTATCTTCCAAATGACATTTGAATATGATCACACCCTCTTTGGCTGTCTGTGTTTTATCGCCTTTATCCCGCTGGATGATATACACACAGATTGTCTAGGCTGAGGAGCTACCTCGGGTGCTTGGTACAGCTTGTATACCATGTCATAAATCCATTCCATTGTTCCCATACAAGCACAATGACGTAAGCACCTTCTGATCAATGTGTTGCTTTCATGTGTATGAAACATACCCGCCAATGAAGAATCATTCCAAAATGTGGTGTTAAGAATATTGCTTTATACAAGGGTGTTTCAAAACTATAACTGCATGCATGTTCCTATAATATTTATTCCATTCTATATATCTCGCGTAACCTATTATGGCTTCCACTACAGTAAACTCTAGTTTAACTCGTTTATTTCAATTATTTATCCAACAAATCCATCTGATTCTTTACTTTGATCTAATTTTGTTCGTAAGCATGATTAAGAAATACGTTTTAATGCATCCTGAAGTACATGAATGCCAAACAATTCCAAGAAAATCAGAATGAGGAAGAAGGAAGAAATTAGAACAACAGTTACGGTATACGCTGGCATCAGCCATCCTTACTACACAGACATATCATACAAACATCATCTTATCTTCCGGTACAAATTAATGAATGTACAAAACAAAATTGCTTGATTTTACATATAATTATAGTTATGGCATGCTAAATATAAAAATACCAGTACTTGAACCCAGAACCAGCAGATTCTGAAAACTGAGGTTGAAGTTTTCAATAATAGTGATTATTCATTGTTTCATGCTAATATCGACGAAAATATGTGATTTGTGTCACAAACATTTATACATTTGAAATTCAGTTTATGATATTATTCAAGCCTATTCTTATAACGATTATGTATTCTGCAGCCCCCCAGATACTTACAGATAATATTGTGCCATATCACTATAATCAATGTAAAGGAATTTTCGTGGTCTATTTTCTCAAGAGAATGTTGCCAAGTTTTGTTACGCCGTCATCGTTTTCTCATCGTCATCGTAATGACCCTCTCTCTGAACATTTATTTTCATCAGTTTAGTTTTTATCTCAAACTTCAGAGTAACATTACATCCCACAGGGGCGTAGGAACAGGGGGGCTTGTCCCCCCCTCCCAATCCCCCTCCCAATTTTTTCAAGACGAAACCATATATCTACCTTACCATAACTACAATTTCATTTTGATTTTACTTTTCATAAATTACACCCACCCCACCCACCCCGCTCTGAAAACCGTTCCTACGCCTCTGTTCCAAGATATTATGCATTGACCTTTGTACTAAGAATATGTCGTAACATTAATGTCGTAATATCTCCCTACGCCTTCTTTCATTCCTACCTCCGTCATGGTTACACCAGCTGTTCACTCGGGACACCTCAGTAATTCCACGGGCACCTGCTCACTTCGGACACCTCAGTACTTCTACGGGCACCTGCTCACTCCAGCAACCTTGGTGCTATTACGGGCACCTGTTAACTTGGGACAAATCAGTGCGTCCACGGGCGGCTGCTCACTCGCGACAAATAATTCGAGGAACACCTGCTCACTCGAACACCTCAGTACATTAAAGGAACCTGCTCACTCGGACACCTCAATATTCCTTAGGAGCCTGCCCGCTCGGACACCAAGAAATTATACGCGCCTGTCTGTAGCGGCACCAGGTGTGATAAGGAGCGAGTTGGGGGATGTGTGCCGACACCTGTAGCTCCCTCCGTGTACTGTCGGAACCCGCAGCCTACTGCCCATGGTCCATGCCAGAAATCAAGAGGGGTATAAATCAGGTCTAAATAACAGGTAGTGCTTGAGTATAACAGGTACTTTGAATTAGGGTGCACAGCGATTACCAAGCGAGAGAGACGGAATGGCGGGTGTGGTAGGTGGTAGGGGTGTTAACCTAGTGGTTGAAGCTAAAAGACTCGGGTCCAATTCCCCACATGGTTACAATGTGTGAAGCCCATTTCTGGTGTCCCCCGCTGTGATATTGCTGGAATATTGCACAAGGCGGCGTTAAACCGTACTCACTCACTCACTTGATAAGATCAACAGTGACGTGAAACCGTTCAGTGTAAGGACAGAAAGTTGATAATCGTTGTTTCACCGAAACACTGTTCAAAGCGGCCTTAAAATCCTTTATTACTTTTTGTAACAGTTTATATATGTACGTTTATTTCTGTTAAAGAAGATATTCAAGTTATCAAAGTCATAAGACTATATTCAAAACTAGTTAAAAAGAGCCTATTCAATATGTCGAAGTATACTATATACTCGCACATACATATATGTTTCAGTAAATGTGTCAAATCAGGAAATGTGTAAATTTCCTGGAATATTTAGGAAATTAACACATTTCCTGATTCACTCAGTAAATGTACACATTTCCTAAATATTCCAGGAAATTAACACATTTCCTGGTTTTAGGGCCTGATTTTGTTACACATTTCCTGATATGAAGTTTTTGCTTAATTTGCAATGAAAACAAGAGAATGGGCCAACATATGCTAATTATTTAAAGCTAGGGCGGGGTATTGCAGAGAATTTTCATATTGCAATATATTGCGTTGCGAAAGCATATAATGCGATATGTATTGCAATATATTGCAAGAAGGTCTTTTTTAACAAAAAACTACCTATAATCGAGTTAATGCTTGATTTATAAAGCAAAAACACAACATGTAACCATGCTTGATTAAGCTTTGATAAAAACTTTTAATCATGACA